CGTCCAAAGCAGAGTTGGGTAGGATTGAAATTCAAAATTAAAAATGATTCAATAGCATATTTTTCTCATCTGCGGAAATCAATTATTATCACTAAACAGAATCGTTAAAATTAGACTGACTATTTCAACCAACTTCAATTAAGAATTAAGTGCAATAAAATTAATGTAATGTGCTTTCATCATGATAAAAATAAAGATCTTTTTGGAGATGTCTCTTAACACTTTCAAGAGCGTTATTAAAGATTATATCATTGCTCGACGTTAAGAATCTATAATAGAATGTAATCGTAATTAGATCATTTTTCTTTCTTCCTTTATTCGTACAATCGATGAAATATTTTATTTTTGTTTATAAATAAATCTCTAATTTTGTATTCATAATATAATTAATGGTGGCCCTTTAATGGTGGTTTGACTGTGGGCTCAATATTTTGTTACAGATAAAAAAAAAATTAAATCCCTAACCAATCATAAGCGGTTAAATTAATCGGTTAGGGATTTAATCACTAATTAACAATTTTAATCGAAGTTGGTGAAATGAATACTAGAAACGATAGGTTACCTTAATTTAAGGACAGCTCAAACAATTCCCAACCATAACAACTATTATTAAGCGTATTTCTTTTCCTGTATAAAATCAAAATCCTAGAATACATTGCATCATAAAAAGAATGCTTTACAAGTATACTAAAATCATTTCTTCAATGTAGTGATATAAAATTTCTCTCCTTTTACCTTACTGATATATTTAGAGCATCAGAAAACAAGAATTGATATAGCCCAAACCATATATGAATTTTCTTTCTGTATAGAAGAAATATCTACCATTTCTACTTCTACTATTACCATCAAGAAAAATGACCAGAGTGGATAAAAGCTTCGGTGTGAGTTGCAAAAAAAAGAGGAAAGAGGGACACTGGATTGGCAGAAGAAGAAGGGAGTTGCCTTTAAGTTCGCCTTTACGACGTCGACGACGAAGGCGAAGCTTTGAAAGGAGAAGCCCCGTCTACGAAAGCCGGTGACATTTTCCCCGGGAAATCTAATTTCCCGGTCTCAAGTGTGACGGCAGGGCAAAATGTAGGGAAGGGGACAACCAAGGGATGTAAAAAAAAAAAAAAGAAGAGAGAGAAAGAGAGTCGAAGGCGTTTCCCAGTGGTGCGACGGGTTTGATGGTGTAAATATTTAAGCAGCAAATCCTGTCATGGGTCCTGCATCTGTACACCATCATCAAGAGAAAATAAGAATAAAAAAAACATCAGGATTCACCTTTCTCATGTCATTCTACATTAATATCCATTTAAAAAAAAAATTGTCCTGTTTTTACTATTTTTAATTCCTAAAATTTTGAAGCTTTTTTATTCTTTTAAACTAACAAAAATAATTCAAAAGGGAATTTTTTAATAAATGAGAAGAATTTTTCAAAGTCAACAATTGACAGACCAAAATTCTACTTGCACTCTGCTTGAGACACACATATCAACAAAAGAAATCTTCAAGTGAATATATATATATATATACGTTCGCAAAAGAATACGGTCCATTTTGTGCGCGCCTGCAACTCTCTCTCTCTATATATAGTGAAACTGCAGCCACGATAAAAGCACCGTAAAAGGAATCCTCGCCCCAGGCGCCGCGTCTCCAACGCGTTAATTGTAATGGTACCTATTAATTACGATAATGGACCCTCTGTATACTCTTTCGACCCTTTGCGTCGTCTACTCTCGTTTCCACTCGACTTTTCAACTTCTTCGCGGTGTCAATTAGCATATACTTTAAATAATAAAAAAAAAAAAGAATTTCCAATAAATTCTTCAATTATCAAAAAAAAAAAAATTGATCCGCAAAATGTCACAATAGGAAATTTTTATGTTGGTAAAGAACCTTATTGAAACAACGTAAATGTAATTGTCTCTTTTATATCTATATATATATATGAAGAATCTCAATCAAATAGAAAAATCAACAAAGAAGAGAAAAAGAGAGGCTTCATTATATTCTCAAGAGTAGAGCAAATATTATTTCTCTTAAAATTTTTATCTTGTAACTCAATTAATATCATCATGTTTAATTATCGTTATCTATAAGGATTGTCAATTCTTGAAAAATATTTCATTATTCTACACTCTGCGATCATATTATTTCTCTTATTCTAATTATTTGGTTAAGACAATTTTTAAAATTGAAATGAATATATTCTGTTTTGAAATTAAATACAAATTTAATGTTTAGTGATATATTGATTTTAATACAAAAAAAAAGAATTGGTATTTATTTAAATAGAAAAATTACACAGAAAAAATAATTTTTAATTCAAATAATCGATTCACTATTATCAAATAAATATTTACTTGAACTAAATAATTGAATTAAATAAAATTTTTGAACCAAGGTAATTTCTGTATTTGAAATAAATACTATTTACAATAATACTGAAATAATTATTTAATACAAATAAATATTTATCTGAATCAAATAATAATTATTCAATACAAATAAATATTTATCTGAATCAAATAATAATTATTTAATACAAATAAAAAATTTATTTGAATCAAATAATAATTATTTAATACGAATAAATATTTTTCTGAATCAAATAATAATTATTTAATACGAAGAAATATTTATCTGTATCAGATAATAATTATTTAATACAAATAAATATTTATTTGATAAATAGTAACCGATTAAGATTTGAATCAAATAAATTTTTTTTTTACTCTATACGTATATATATATATATGCAAGAAAGAAGCCCATTAGCGGTTACGCGAAAGTGAGTTGGTTCGTTCATTCATGAAATACTACACCACTACTATAAAGCAACCCCCATCGTTTTGCCACACCGCCTATATCGCCTTCTACGCGATACTACTTATACACTATATACTCAAAGTCGTTTGTCGTCTCACTATTACTCTCACACACCTACAATTTTCGCGCCAACATCTCTTTAGAATAAAATCAAATATCGCACTTTGTACTTTCTTAAGTACAACTCGATAAACTTTAAGAAAACTTTCAACTATCAACTTTCTTAACTGTCCTCTATGTAAAAAAAAAAGAAACTGCCGCACAAGATTTTACTGCATTTTTTTTTATGTACAAGTTTAAAATGACTTCTAATTAACTTTTTTTTCGAATTGTTTCTTAATGATGTAAAACGTAAATTATGTTAATTTTTTTTCTCTATGTATTTATTATAAAAATAATTTAAAAAATTATAAATAAGACGCAAGTAAATTCGCATTACTCGTTTATTACATTTATAGAATCGGTTCAAAATTATCAGTTACTTGAAAAGATTTCCCTCTTTATCAGAGTCATTGACTGTATAATTACCATTATATTTAATATACTAAAACCACATTTTTACTACCTTTTATAATTAAAAAATTTTTTTTTTTTTTAATTAAATTAAAATCCCTTTAAAATATGAAAAAATAAATTTCTTTTTTTTTTTAATCAAACCATGTATTATACCGCGCATTTTTTTTTTAAATTAAAAACTAAATTGCTTTGTTCAAAAAATTTTTATTTTTAGTAAACGAGGAAACCTTTTATTATTAACCGATAAAAACAAAATTTCAACCATCAAAAATAAATTTTATAAGCTTCAATAAACAAAATATATTTCATACATAAAATGAATATAATAAGCTTTAAAATAATTCCCTATTCATTAAAATAATATAATAAAAATTTAATAGAGTCAATATTTTTCTAATATGCTTTTCTATTCTCGTTTTTATAGTCAGCTAAAAAAAAAATTCTCCGACGAAGAATAATTAAATAAATTATAGGATTTAAAATTAAAAAAAGAATAATAAACAATATTCCATAATAATCGATTTAATTTTAAGAATTATATTAAGAAAAAAAAAGAACTATTCGTATATAAGATTTATCCTCACGTGTAGCGAACCGGCAAAAACTATCTGCACGTGCGTAAAATTCTTCGCAGAAGTGGAATTTATCTCAAAAGTAAATAAAACTACCTTTAATATTCACAAAAGCACTTCAGGAATTTTCAGATTAGAATCTCAATAATATTTTCTCAGTCAAGTTCGATAAGGCATTTCAAAAAAAATAAATTCTATTTCAAAATTAAAAACTAAAACCTTAAATCATATTTTCGCAAAAAAAACTAAACCTAGTATTTATCTATAAATATTTATTTATTAAAAAAATTTCTTTAATAGGAAAAAAATATATTCCTTGTATTTTTTTTGGGGGGGGATTTGCAGAAAAAAAAATTCAATTTTCAAAGGGCAAAGAAGAGGAAAAAAAAAACATATATGAAAATTTGGGGCTCACCGCAGCTGGCGGAAGTTGAAAAGAAGTGAATAAAATTGGCAGATTTTTGGCAGAGTTCTTATCAAGATTATACAAGGCGCAGCCTCCGAGAACCGCTCCGAACATATACACACGTCGGTGGTTGGTCGCGCACTGAAGTTTGAACGCGAATCCGACAGATCCGAACAAACCCACCCCCCAACGGCAGACACACATACACATAAACACCCTGTGTGTACCCCTTTCGACCTAACATTCAACCCCTCAATTCTTGATTAAACGAAAATAATCTCTAAATTCGATTAGCTTTAGTAAATTTCACCTCTTAAAGAGAGAATTATTTATATTTATATATATTTACTCACAATTCATACAAGAAAATTAACTTGAAACTTTCAAAAATTATTTTCGATATACTAAAGTCGAACACTGATAAAGATATTAAAAAATATTTATGAAAAATTAACCAGAAAAAAAAGAGGAAGTAAATTCCCAACGAAAATTTATTTTTCTAAAATATTTTTCAAATTTAGATTTTTTTTTTTAATTTTATAATAAACGATTTAGTTGAATTTAATCACGGATTAATTTTTAAAAAAGGATGTTTCGAAAACATCAATTTTTTTTAAACAAAACAAATATTTCAATATGAACAATAAAATATAAAATATCACTAAAATTTTATAGTAGAAAAATAAACTCACTCTAATTCCCATAAATACCAAAATATAAATGATCCAAGATTGATTAATTTCCATGTTTCTAAATTAGGAAGTCCTTTGAGATTGCAAAAATATTCCAAATTCTTCTTAGATAACCTAGAAAATTTAAAAAAATTAGAATCACTAATTCTATTCTGAAAAAAAAATTCATATTAATTATTTTTAATTTCATTGAAATAATTACATTAGCTAATTTAAGAGAAAAATCAAAATAGAAATAAAATTTAAATAGAAATCATACTGAAATTGATAATATACACATAATACATATTATATTTTTAATTATTAATTTCACAAATAGACCTCAACAATATTATTTATTCAAACTCGTATTTATTCGAAACATTAATATTACTAATTATTAGTAATAAATCATTAGGAAATTATAGCTATAATATGTATATATATATATAATAAATAAAAATTACAAATGCTTACCTAAATTGGTGAAATTCTGAATAGAACAATGCACTTTAAACAGGTTCGATAACAATGTAAAATTATTAATAATTCACTGACTCTAATTAAATTGGGATAGAAAATTTACTAATTTACACACAAGTTATTAAAATTTTACAAAAAAAAACAAGGGAGGACAAATAAATACTTTATAAAAATTTTCCAGTCGAGCTTTCAAGGCGACGATCGGAGCAGATTTAATTCACAAACTATGCCTACTTTTTTTTAAGACTTATTAATTTAATAAAAATATGTACAAAACCAATATTTATAGAAATTTGGCAATATTATTACTATTATAACCTTAAACCGAAAGTTAGTTAACTAAATATTGCAATTTATTCAACACCTTCATAGGTCACACGAAATTTTTAGGTTAGGTTTGCACAATAAAATTTTGTCAATTATTTTTTCAACCAAAACTTGCTAATAATACTAAATTTACTTAAATTTATCAATAAATCAAAGAAATGGAAAGAAAAAGAACGAATTAGTCGTCAAAATAATGATGTTTTTGACAAATTTTTCTTTTGACGCCAATACCCGATGCTTTCAACTAACGCGACACGAGTCTAATGCTGACAATAGTTAAATTATCTACTCTAATTTGTAAAAACTTCACGAATTTTATAAAATAATCACTATTTTAGAGTAAAAATGATGTAAAATCAACACCGAAAGCGGATTCCGTCCGATGTTCGCCCGCTCAACAGGAAGAAACTTACGCAAATCACGTGATCATGAATGCCGCGAACGAAAAACCAAGATGGCGTCGAATACATGAAAATTTTTACAAATTGCCTAACCTACGATTAAATTTTAATTTTACTACAAAAATTAGTATTTTTACTAATATTTTATATACCATACTTCACGATTAATAGAAAAATTTACTTGATTCTACAAAAAAATAGACGGATGCAAGAGAAAAAAGTTTGGTTATCATGCGACGCGATGTCTCATGGCGAAATTCTTTTTTTACTCAAATATACTTAATTTTTTATGCAATTCTCACGTATTTTATATTAAAAATAACTAAAAACAACTCTAATTTATGAAAATTGTATAATAATTAATCTTTTTAAACAAAAAATATAATAAATTTACCACCTAAAAGGAACGCGATGTGCTCAGCCTGTCCGCTCAACCGGAAATGAAGTGAACTTTATGAACAAAACACGTGATACCAAATGCAGCGTTCTCATTGGTTGTTCTAAAAGAGCGGCAAATATTTACAAATTCAAACAACAGTACAACTTTCAAAGTGTATTGAACAAAATTAAATAAAGGTTAATTAATTAAATTTAATGAATAATTAAATAAATAAAATATTTATATAGAAATTGGTAATTAAACTAAAAATAACAGTATTATTATTATTTTTTTTATATTAAAATAATTATTTAAAAATTGAAATAAAATTTTTTAATAATTACAATAAAATATTATGAATAATTAAAGTAAACTTTATTTAAAGTGTTTTTCACAGTTTATTCATATTGGTTATGACATTTATAAAAACCTAAAAAGCTACATGTATATAAATATATAAATTATTTATGTACAGAGTATCTGAAGTGACGAACGAAAATCAAGAGTTTATTATTATAACTCTGTTCGTCAGCAGTCTGTAGAATTTGTTTTTTTTCCATTAAAAATCTTACAAAACTTAATCTCACAAATTTCTTCTTTGATATAATCAAAGAATGTGTCAGTCCAAGTATATCTTGTAGAATGTGCTTTAAAATTTTCAATAAAATAATATATAGCTGCTATAAAATTCACAACGTGCAGTTAACATTAATTCTCACATTAAAAGTCATTTCAAAAAAAAAATAAAAAATAAATAAGTAAATGTCTGGAATGTCTTATAAATAATAAATCATTCCAATTTCAAGTACTAGAGCAACGCCGAATTTATATTTAAACAATTTTTTTTTAAATTTATTAAAAAAAACAATAAAAAATGAAAAATATTAATTTCAAAATTGATATCCTCTGTTAGAGAAAGCAAATTAATATTAACAATAGACGTAAACGTCTATTAAATTGTGCGGAAACTATGACATTAATTATAATTTAATTAATTAATAAAATTAAAATACTTTACGAGAAAGCAAAATCAAATTAAATTTTAAATCGTTACCGATTTAATTATTGCCATTTTTTTAAATGAAGCATTAATTATTCTTTTTTTTTTTTGGTTTTGTTTCTTAATCAACGTGAACATATTGTCCAGTGACTGTTGAAGTTTGATGATATCTCCTTCTTTCGGAGAAATCTTCATTTTCTTCATTTAATTGTGCAGAAGATGTTTCTACACCAGGTGGAACTGGTGTCACAACTATTTGTTCATAGTCGTAAACTTTTCTTCTGAAAAAAAAAAAATTAAATATTTTAATATCACAGAAAACTGAATTTTGTATATTAAAATTAAGTTTTAATATTTTTCTCACCCCATTAATTTAAGAATTGAATTTTTAAGCCATTTAAAGAGTTTAAATTCAGCAGAAACACCAGGTTTCACAGCAGGATTTGCGTGGCCAATATAACTCCAAACAAGGAAAACAACAATAATATTTGCTGTAGCGTACACCCAATTGACGAGGAACATTATTAAAAGCTTTACAAGCGCCTGTAGAGAAAAAAAGTGGAAAAATTTATCATTTTTTTTTAACTAATTTATTTATTTTTAAAAAATTCTTATAAATAACTTACACCGAGGAGAGAGAACCATCGATTGCAAAAGGGACTGTACCAATTCCCTAATTTGTTATGAATATGAACTCTTCTTGCAATTGAGTCAGCTACACTGCTATTTTCATCTAAACTTGGTGATGAATCGATATTCACATTGTCGGAGAAATTAGGATTTGACTGAAAAAAATGTAATTAATTTTTTTTACTTACTTTTTTTATTTATTTTTTATTAGGGTAAATTATTTTTATACTATAAAACAAATATTTACAGAACATGAAAAACTTACTGCAATGTTTTTATGTCGAATTCTTTCAGGAAATAAAGTATCTAAATCGTTTTCAGTTTCTATACCATCGTTTCTCTCGGCAGCACCATAATTTCTATCAAAAGTTGGTGTTTGTGAAGAAAATCTCTGTTCCCTTGAATGTCGTAAATCAAATGTTTGAGCTAAGGCAAAATAAGCATAATCCATACAAGCATAGGTCAACAAAAATGGCATTGTTACAATTGGAGCGAGTGTATTAATTTGTCCCTTAATGATAAAAGCCAATGTGATAACAGCCACCACCAACATTGCATAGATTGGCACTTTATTCGGTCCTTTCTATAAAAAAAATGTTTCTTTTGAAATTTCGATAAAAAGAATTTTATAATAAAAATTTTACTAGTATAGAAAAAGTGCAATATAAAGAATTTAGAAAGAAAATACTCACGCCTCTTTGTAAACAACTAATTCCAGGAATAACATTTTGTCCAGCGATTGATTGCAATACTCTTGGAGTACCATACATTGCTCCTAAACAGCTGCTAAATGAAGAGACATAAAGTCCCGCAAGAAGTAAAACAGAAAAAGCCGATACTGTCGAAGCTATCATAAAATTATTTTTCAAAACCTCCCTCGTGCAAGTTGATGCAAGAAAAAGGGAAAAAATCAAATACAGGAACGTTCTGTAAAAAAAAAAATATAAAATATAACTATTTTTCTATTTTAATTTTCTAATTTAATTAATATTTTTTTTTTAGTTTTAAATACCCTGTTCCTAGAGCTGCCAATGTTCCATTTGGTATATTAGTCGACGGTTGTCGTAAATCGCCACTCATATTAATTCCCGCTAAAACTCCAGTAACTGTTGGAAAAAATACTCCAAACGTCGTAAACCATCCATTATCTTTATCATAAGAGGGAAAAGTATTATTTCTCAAATTTCCCGACAGCCAACCCTCAAAACCAGATTCTAATTGAAAAAAAGTTCAATAATTTAAATTTTAATAAAACTATAAAACATTAAAAAATAAATTAATTTAATTAAATATTTTATGTACCAGGATTTTCGTGAGTAAATGAGCCAACCATAAAATCGGCGCCAGCCAAAAGAAGAATAAGCAATAGAATAAATTGTAGTTTCACGACCCACTTTACTCCAGCGACATTTATCACTGAAAGTAAAATGACTGCAGCACACGCGAAACCTTGTTCCGCCCATGGTGTTTGAAGACCAACAAGTCCGGCCATTGATTCACCAAAACCCAAAACATTTAAAGCGCAACCAACGGCCTAAAAATTTCACAGAAATTTAAAAAAAAACATAAAAAAGAAATATGAAAAAATTGATACCAAAAATTGTTTTTAAACAAATTTTACCTGTCCAAAGCAATACAATAATCCAATAGATCCACCAAATCTTGATCCAAGAACATGTGACAATAAAAAATAAACTCCACCACTTTCAACTCGACATCTTTCGCAAATTCCCACTGCTGATAAAACTGTCACCAAAGCGACACAAACTAAAATAAATTTACAAAAATTAATAACTAATTTAAAGAGAATATAATTTATAAAATAAATAAATTTATATAAAAATAAAATATTACGTTAATAATTAAAAGAAGAGAATATAATTTATAAAATAAATTTATATAAAAATAAAATATTATGTTAATAATTAAATTAATAATTGATAATTTAAAGTTAATAATTGCCTGTTGCTAAAATAATTAAAACTGCATGTAAAGCTCCTGCTTCACCCACAATCCATCCTGATCGCAAAAAAACAATTACGCCAAAAATATTAATTAAACATGAAGTAAAAACTCCATCCCATGTGCCAAATAAAACTGGTTGAGATATAAAAAAATTTGACTTCCACCATGGATCAGCATTCTGTGAATAAAATTAAAATTAATACCACAAATTTTAATTAATAAAAATAAAATATTAAAAATAAGAAAAATTACATACATATTCCTGAGCAAAAAGTTCATTTGTCCCTGTTTGATACATTTCAGGACCAAATTCATCATAACTTCTATTTTGTGATTGTTCACTATGATTTTCCGAATGTAAACCATATCTTGACCAATCGACTTGATTACTATTATTAGAATTACTGAAAACTACATTTGTATCTTCTCTCGAACGCATCTTGAATTTTTTTCTTTTTTAATAATCGTTATAAAAATGAAATTTAAATCTTCAAAAGCATCCTTGATTTTGTGAAGCTGTAAATAAATTTGTCATATTAGAAAAATACTCACACTATTGAAACTATTTTAATTAAAAAAATCCGTAGATTATTATTTTAAATTGTAGCTTTATAAAAGTAGTAAACATATACACAAACATTGTTTTTTAAACAATTAATTGTAATAAAAAAAAGTTCATTAAAAGCTCTAATAGATGATTAATTAGTTTAATAATAAAATTAGAAAACATATTGAAATTATAAAACTATTTTAACAGATTGTAAGAAAACAATTCTTATAAAAATTCTAAATATTCACTTATAGGTTAGAAATTGATAAACTAATTTTATTTTTCTTTCTAATTAACAAAAAAATTGAATAATTTATTAATTCATTGAATTGCAAATTTTTTGATTTTATTCTATTTCACCAAAGATAGTAGGCTACGAACCATAAATAACTTTATCACAATGTAAACATTATCTAGCCAATTTAAATGTCAAAAATTACTGAAGGCGGCCATTTTTAAAAACGTCATCTAGATCACAGTGCCGTCACTACTAAAGTCAAAACCCTATTCAAAAAATCTTTTATTCTGAAGATAAATTTTTTATTTGTAAATTAAAAATTAATTGTCCAAAAAACTATTTATCAACCAATTAAAATGAAGCAAGCTTTCTTTTTAAATTCTTAACGAGAATTACGGTGAAGACGCCATTGTTGTTTATTATTCTCGTGTGTAAACATTATCATTTTTTCTAAAAATATAAGAAGTTTAAATTATAATTAGTAAAAAAAAAGGTAATCTATTCTATAATTTTTATTCTATCTGCTCAATAATAAAATTTCGAAAAATACTTTTTTTTCTCCTTGCTAATATTCGGATGCAAGTCACAATTTGAACTTATAATTTTCCAAAATATGTATTGGTAAGTTTTTCGATAACAATAATACTATTTTTTGTTTTGTTTTTTATTGTTTTATTAATTATTATCAAATAAATTGATTTTTAATGTTTTGATTGTTTTTAAATATGAAAATCAATATTTTCATTGTAAACATTGTCTAGAGAGGTTAAGTTTACATATATGGGAATTGTTATTTTCTTCAGCTTTATTTGTTTCTGTATATAATTAGTACATTATAAAATTATATTCAACTAGAACACATAATTTAATTAAATTATATTAATGTCAAAAGTAATATTATTTTATTTATTTAATTCATTTTTAATTTGAGTTTTCACTTTCTTTAACATTTCCTTCCTATATATTTTGCAATTTATTTTATATTTGGAAAGAAGCTTATTTCGAACGTTTTTCTATAAATATTATTTTGACGTCACAATTTCCGTTGTTTTTTCGTGGAAAAATATGTCTAAAGAATTATTTCAACATTTAAAAATATTTATTAAAGTAATTTTTTAATTTAAATTTCAAAAAAATTGTTTAACAATTTATTTTATTACAATTTTTGTATTAATTTTGTAAAAATTAATTCTTATAAATATTATCAGCATTTAGAATAAAAAATTTTGGTCTTTGGAACTCCACCAAAATATTATTATTTTGCAAATCTTTGGAAATATGCCCGCAGTAATATAAAGTCTTTCGTAATAAGCGTGAAAATTATTCTAATTTATATATGTAATAATTTATTTTTTTATACGTGTTTGCAAACATTCCAAAAGAAAATTTTCAAATAATTTCTACTCTGTCAAAATTATATCAGTTATATAATTTATGACAAAAAAAATTTTTGGTATAAATGAAATTTCTGTTATTTTTAATTTAAAAATCATATAATCAGAAATGTTATATTAAAAATTTTTTTCACAGTTTATTTCTTCACACATGTGTCTTGTGTTTAGAGTTTTATTTGTACGATTATAAATTTGTTTTTTTTTTAATATTTTGAGAGTCAAGGTAATTTTAAGACAACACAGACCTTGTGCTATTTCTTCAATAACAAAGAGATGAAAAGTAAAAATGCTTCATGTTCGTCTTAGAATTGTAAAATTGAGAAAAATTTAATTATTTTTAAATTTTTGGTAACAAAATTAAAAATTGATTTTAAATTTTCATTAATTTTTCAGTATATCTACGATTGGAATCGATTCTTGGCTAAAATGTGAAGAATATCAATTCGTAAATTTTATGAATAACTACATTTGTTGAGTTGTCTGGTGACTAAAAATTATTTGCCGATGAGTGGCTGTGACACAAATTTAAAGTCCCATAAATTTCTTGTTGAAATATATACGAGTTGCCAAGGTTGAGTTCAAGAAACTAGATTATTGTCATATTTTTCATGACCCGATGGAAAAACTAGGAGACAAAAATATGAAATTTTTATTGTTTAAAAAAAAGCCAGAAAATTGTTCTTCAATACTAAGATTAATATTTTTATCAAATCAAGAATCAAAAGGTAGTGATTTACTTTTTATTTCAATAAATAATATAATACTATAATATTTCTTTAATGTAATAATAAAAGAAAAAAAGTATGTCGATTAATAAAATTAATAATTAATTTGTTTTTCAGAAGGAAAGTTAAAAATCCATTGTTTCGTAATTATTTTTATACAGTTAATTTTTGAAATAAAAAAAATTAACTCAAATTTCTTATATTTTTGTACTATTTCAAAATTGAATTGTTTTAGGGAGTGATTTGCGATGAGCCTCGCGCTGGAGAACGTGAAACGATGTCCTCGAATATTCTGAGCAAAGTGCGTGGGCAAATTGTGATGAAAAAAAAAGAAGAAAATAAAAGCTCTGGATAGCAAAAAGCACTTGAGGAACACGAGGGGGAGATGGAAAAACGACAAGGAAGAAAAATAGAGGTAAATATCTCTTGTAACCTTAACACGATTCTATTTCTTTCGATGCATCAACTTTTTGTATATCACACGTCTGACGCAATTTTAACGTCGCGCTGTTTTTCATGGTGGGAGGCGTCGCGACGCTAAGCGTCCCCACGAACTAATCTTCAAAAATCAGAATCATACGAACTTCCATCGCGGCCGCATCTGCATATAAATTAATTTTTCAAAAAAAAAAAAAAGGAAACAAAAACAGGCCACTAACAAAGTTAACACGCGAAATTACAAACGAATTAAATACATATTTTAATCGAAAAACCTAATTTTCCAAGTGAAGCGAAAATGGTTTACGAGAGCGATTTCTACACGACCCGACGACCCTACACGCGGCCAATCGTGTCTTCTTACAGCGTCACGGTCAGTACTCCATCATTATTATTCTGCAAGATTTTTCTGTTTCACACAAAAGCTGATTTTTGCATCTCTCAAGAAAAAAAAATATTTATAAAGTGAAAATTCAAAGTGAATCAAGGAAACGGATTTTAATTTTACCAAGTGAATTGTGATAAAAGTTAAAAATCAAGTGATTTTTGTAAAGATTCATCTTGAAAAAAGAATTTAAAAAATTATTGGAATCAAGAAAGAAAATCAAAAAAAGATGATTGGTTTTTTTTTTTAAATTTTAATTTTCATTATAAATTATTTATTTCGTTCTAGTTATATAAGTTTAAAAATTTATGATTTTGTATTAAAGTAAATTTTTAATTTAAAAATTATAAATTACATACATTATTTTTTTTCAATAAACGTTTAGTTTTTTTTTTTCTGTGAGAGATGCAAATCAGCTATTGAACTTTTAACATCTTGAGCTTGTGTTAACGTGCGATCAAAAAAAGGGTCAAAGATTCGAGTGACGATTCCCCCGACGTGAGAGATTCAAAAAAAAAGATCAAAGCTTCTTTAAATAAATTAAATACATTTTTGAATGTAAATAAATTATAATTAGAAAATAAATCAAATTGGTGGAATCTCTCACGAAACGTTGACTTCATGAATTTTGAAAATGATTGATACGTCTCTGTTGACCGCTATAGTCTCGAATTCGATCAGCGGAAGAAAAATCGACTTCCTTAAAAATCAATATTAATGATAATATTATTATTGGAAGATCGATATTTCTCGTAGATTTGAATTCAAAAAGCGTCTCGAAGTCTCAACTTCCACACTATATACTCTTATCATCAACATCAATACTACTTTTATAAAAACTACTACCAATTGACCAGAAAAATTAAAAAAAAAAAAAAAAAACTTTCGAATTTGATATTTTTTTGAATTTTCATTTTATTTAAATTGACAATTTAAATAATTTACCATTATTAGAATTTTTAATTAATTATCTCCTTTTTTTCAAACAAAAATTTAATATTAATATTTGAAAAAAATCATTTAATTTTTGAAACTTAAAAATTTAAATTAAAAAAAATGTCTGTTATCTAAAATATGAATGCAAAATTCGAAGGGTTTTTTTTTCATTCTGCTGCTACTACTAGCACTACTAAATATTTATTCCGAATTCAAAACGTGCACTCGGTGTCTCAGTTGGGCTTTGCGAAATATCAGGAAATTTTCGATATCATTTCACAAATATTTCTTTTTCTTTAGTACTTCATTCTATTTTCAATAAATGAAATATTTGAATTTCATAATTTTCTATCAGAATGTTACTTCATTGAATCGTGTTTTTTTTTATAATGCTGTGATAACAATCCCTGATTTTAAATCCTCAATTATCAACAATTGTGACTCATCAAGAATATTTGTAGAAATTTGAATTTTTTATTTTTGCTTTTATACTCAATTTATTTATCGACATTTATTTTAAAAAAAATTTCATTTACTTCTGTAGTTATTTGATTTTCATTTTTTTTTTTTTTCGTTTGCTTTTGAATTTTTATCTGTTTTAGTAGCTAATTTTTCATGACTACTTCTTATTAATTTCTTTTTTTATTTCTTTTTGTTTGAGAGAGATGCGAACTGCATAATTTATAACACAATAAGTTAACCAAATTTAGTTTTTCCGAAAATAGAATTTTTATATAAAGAGAGCATCGAGAAGAGAATGATGATTCAGAATTTGCATTCCGGAAGATGTGGGTGTCGACTTTTATAATATGAGACGTCACTTTATAATTGTTTCCGACTTGTTTCGCGCGTACAGGTGATTATTAATAAAAATTTATTTTGGCCGCTCTCATTCATTGCGCAAATGATTTATAATCAACATTTAATTTATAAACAAAATTATTATTTAATCGCTAACAAAATTTATTGAAATTCAAAATTGACAGTAGATTATTTACAAAAAAAAAAAATTAATTTTATAAATTAATATAAAATATAATTAAATTTAAATTAATTTTTATACTAAAATTAAAGTAGCAAAATTTTCGAATACAGTAAAACAATGAAAATTGTTTCGCGCCTATTAAATGCGATATTTTCGAAGAAAAAAAATGTCTAATTTTCGAAAGAAAATCTAATATTTAAAAAAAAAGCAGTGGGGTCAGAGCAAAGACTATTCATAGCAGAGGAGCCATTTTCCGGGACTCTGAAAGTGTTAAACTTAGACGTTGTACGACCCGGTAAATCTTGAATTAACGGAATAAGAAAATTAATCTTTTAATTCCACCAATTCAACCTCGAGTCGATGCGTCAAATCGACTGAGAGTGGATTTGAGCCATATCGTTAAATAACATGGTCAGTGCCAAATTGTTCTCTCAATGTTACTATAATTATATCCTGGAATAATTTCGGTTCAATGTAAACAAACAAGGTTTGTTTACTGAACACCATTTGGGTGTGAATTGATTTTAATAATTTTCATAAATCTTTATTCACAAGTTTTATTACATATGTTTTTTATTTAACATGCCAAACATTGATTTATAAATTTATTTTTAAAATTTCATAAAAAATTAAAAGTCGATTTTTTCAATTATAATTAATTTATAATACAATTGTAACGATTTTCTTAAATTTTATTAAAAAATAAGGTTTTTTTGTCTTTTTATATATTTTTTCAATAAAACTGATTTAATTTCTAAGAATTGGATGAAAATTTACCTTTTTTGAAAGTTAATAAAAAAAATTGACTAACGAATCAGAAGAAGAAATGAAATTGCTAATAAATTGAAATGTTTGGTTTTTGGATCAAAAAAAAAAAAATTTTTTTTGTATTCATCTGAGAGCGGTGGGGTAATAGGAATGTCAAACGTCGGTGTTGCGTTACCGTGTCCTAATTTAGACGCACAGCGTCCCGACGCCTCTCCCACTCTTCAATTTCTTCGTCAGAGAAATTCATACTCGCGAAGGGGGAAAGAGAAAATATTTTCTTTTTTGCAAAAAAAAGCCCTTGTTAATCAAAAAAAAAATGTAAGTAAAACTAATAAATTTTGACTTTAATTCACGTCAAATATTATTAGTTTAGGAAAAACTATTTCATATCATTCTCCAAAAATTAAATTTCCACTGAAGTCAATAATTAGAAAAAGAATTTTTTTTTTCAATTCAGATTTTTACTTTCGAATATAATTTTCATTGTCAAAATTCATTTCAAAAATGTCATTCTTGCAAAACAGTTTCAAAATTATGTTTTTTTTATGAAACAGCAATAAATTGGCGCGTCTTAAACGTTGGCTGAAGTATATCAACAAATTTAAGAAGTTACACAGCACATTTTGAAAATGAGAAATATCTTAAGCAATCATATTCGAAAATTATGAATCTTCTCTTAAATTGAAATTTTCCATACAAGAAAATTGTTTATTTCATTCTTTTATCTTTAAAACAAAAATAAAATCTTTTTACTGGAAAAAAAAAAATTAATAACAAAAGACGTAGAAAAATGGTTCTAATGTTTGGCATTTCTATATTTAAAAAGTGCCTCAAACTCCTTTTATCCTTGAGTCTCAACATGCGATCTATAACGTAACGAGTTCTGAACGTTTCACAATTCTATTTTTACATGATGAGAATAAACGATGAGAGAGAGAGAAGCCCCGCGAGTGAGAACTTTTGTGTGAGCTGATATAAAGTATCAAAAAAAAAAAATAATTAAAATCAAAAGAGTGCGGTGTGGAAGTGAAGACGTCATCTGAAGGCGAGAGACAAACAAAACAAAAACACTTAAAAATCTCCTCACTAAAAAAAGAACTAATTGGAAAACAAAAAAATACTCTTTAAAAAAATAATAATGGAAAAAAACGATCCCAACGAAAACAAAAAAAAAAATTACGATTACAGAAGCAAGACACCTTCCCCTGGGACAAGGTACCAGATGTTCCTCGGCCATCTTTGGTTCCCGAGCCATTCACCGTTTGGGGACGTAAAAAACAGGATCCACAAAAGGAATTTTATCAGTATGCAACAATTCGTGAAAAAGAGGGAATTGTACGTGGAAAAAATCCCGCTAAAGATGATCATACACGTCAATTAATTGAGAGTGGCGCTATTGAAAAAGCTGGATTGGATGCTGCCTCCGAATTAGCTCTCAAGGGTCATGTCTTTGAGAAAGGTGTCCTTGCAAGGCCACTGACAAGTCATCGACGACCTGCCATTCCACCATCCACTCGCACCAAGATCATTATGGCTCTCGAAAAACCGTCTTGGTACCGATTCTAAAAAAAAAAAGAAAAGAAAGAAAAAAATCGACTTCGAAACAAGTATTTTTTTTTTTGTATTCTCGGACAACGCTGCTTTTCTCCCTTTTTTTATCGCAAAAAAATTAGCTGACTAGCTCGTGATTTAGCTTTATCCATTGTTTATTTGACAATTGCTTTTTTGCGAGGAAAAGAAACTTTTCTAATTATTTTAAAATATCAATAATTAATAAAAACAATTTTCAGCATTTAAATCCAATAAAGAAATAATTTTAAATTAATTAATTAATTAATTTTTTTAAATTACCGTAAATTAAAAATTAATATTGCTATTAATTAAAGTAGCCTTTTTCAAACGTAACTTTTAGTTTAAATTTAAAATGTTTCTTTTTTTATTTTAATAAACATTTTATAAATCTATACATTTTAGATTATCTGTTTTTTTATTCTCGACAGAAATTAATTTCTCTGATAAAAAATAATCTGTCAAATAAATAATAGACACTAAATCAAACATTCAATTTCCTCCTTTTTTTTGATTCGCGCTTAGTTTTTAGAACTCGGGGGTTTTGTGTATCGAATACCCCCCTTCGCTTTGCATTTATTATTCTTAATTTCTCTCAATAGATTTGATTTTGTTTCTTCTGATTTTCGTTGTAAAAAAAAAATTGTGCTCTTTTTTTGAACATTTTTTTTTTCGCTTGCAATTTTTGCCGTCCGATGCTTCACATTTCCATAAATTTTTGATAGATGTTTTTTCATACACACAAACATAATATGTATTATTAGTGATTGATAAATTTATCAGCGACTCGTGTAATAAGGGAAAAAAATCAATAAAGAAATTGATAAAATTTCTGGAAAAATGAGATTTTTTTTTTTTTTGCAAAACAAAATACCCCTTTTTTTAATCTAAATTTTAATTGAAGAAAATCTATGCCAGGTCGAGACACCGAGTGCCACTAAATCGCATACGTTTATAAATGTATACATATATTATATAAAAGCAAATAGATACCTTTTGGCAAGGGATGCAAAAGTTGCCTAACGTTGTAGCAGAATGTCCTGAATATTTCAACAAGGAGACTTTTTTTTTTTTTTATTATAAAATTAATGCGTTATAATTGGCCCGCACGTTGTGTGTCTACAGAAAAAAAAAATTCTCTTTTCTTGCATACAAAATTCGTGAAAAAAAGCTCGTTTGGCAATATAAAAATACGTACTAACCATTTTTATTTTCATTTCGCCTCGATCGTGCTTAATTTCTTACCTGCTGCTCAAAAATTATTATTGTCAATTTTAAAATTAATTTTGAGAAACCATCGATTTTCAAAAAAAAGTATCGTAAATACAATATTAAATTCTTGTTTACGATACTTTTTTTAAAAAATCATCTAAATTTTTTTTTATTCTTTTTTTTTATCATTTTAAAAATCAATTAAAATTCTTGACACAAATATAAACATAAAAAAAAAATTACACAAAGAGACGGAAGACAAGAGCCCGAATGATAGAAAAAAAAAATGTAAGAATGTGATTAGAGAGGTTTTGTTTTCGAGAAATAGCTTCTTTCAAAAAATCAAAAAAAAAAAAAAAAAAAGTTCATCTTATATCGTTCCGAATTTAGACGCCTCGACACTATGTGGTCCGTGATTATCCATCATCTGGATTGAGATCAGCCCAGGAACAGTACAGCTACTCTTACACCAACAGCAATTCATCAAGTTCGTCAGATCCCTATTCGCGTCCTCAACGTACATCCTACACAACGGAAAATGTCTACAAACGTGATAGTGGACCTTATGGCTCATATTCCACGGAAAGATCATCAAGATCATCAACCGGCGGTGGCCCTGGAGGATATCATTCCTCATACGAGACTCATTCTTCCGGTCGTTTACCTGGTGGCACTTCTTATCGTCATTTCTCGTACCGCGTCTAAGTTTTTCACCACACTTTTATTCTCTTATTTTGCTTTCGATTTCAATTATTTCATTATATATTTTACTTTTAAAAATTATATATTGTAAATTTTTATTTCGCCTTTTTAAAACTTAAAAAAAAACAAACACTTTTTATCGAGCAATTTAGAATTTTTTATTTCGATCAATAGAAAAAAATTTTGAAATCGAAACAAACATTTTTCTTGTTGACATGTTTTTAATTGCCATAGTATCGAATTTAGTTACAGCAATAAAATAGTACATTTCTTTTTTTTTTATAAATACAAAAAAAAATGTAGGAATTCAACAAGAAAAATGTGAGAAATGTACGTACAAGATTTTTTTTTTGTGAATTTTTTCTTGCTGCATTTAGAAAAACTAAAACCTAGTTTTTGCTAAACGCGACGCATTTTCTTTTTTTTTGTTGACAAAATATTTGTTTATTAACGAATTAAGTAAAAAAAAAAAAATACAATTAGTAATAAAACGAATATTATATATATAAAAAATTTTTATTTTTTATTATATAAATCGAATTATTATTAAAGAATTTAAATAATAATATCTAACTGGCCAAACGAGTCACGAGCGCAATTATTGTATTTTTATATAATTGATTTTTTTTTTTTAATTCACGTGTGGCTCTCTCACGATGATAAAAAAAAAAAAAAAATGTTTTCTTACGCTGTGTAATAGTCCTTTGCAAGTTTTAATAACCAATGTTTTTGATTGTAAAAAAAAAAAAAGAATTGCAGAAATAAAAATTATCACTATGTGATGACTTTTCCGCACGTTTATATTGTTTTCCATTTTACACCTTGAAAATAAAAATAAAATCATAATTTCTTTAAAAACAATTGGAAAATTAATTATCATTTCACTTTTTATTATCACAGCACTTGTATTTTGATTTAGTCAAATCAGAATAACTAACTAAAATCCCATCATCTCATTTTAGACACACAACGCAAAATTGGCCAAAAATTTCAAAAATTTGGAAAATTTTTGAAATTTATTTCATTTACTGAAACTAGAAAAAGTATAAAAGTGGATAGTTGCAACTAATTTTCAAAATTCCTGATTTAAAAAGAAAATTTGCATTTTCTATATAATATAAAAAATTCGAATTTATCATCATATTGAAGAAATAGAATCAACAAATTGAATACTAATAGAGTATTCTTATTTTTTTTATCTTCATTTTGCCTCTCAATGTGACTACTCGTCCATCGCCGCCACCGGGTCTTCAAAAAAAAAAAAAAAAAAAAAAACTGATTTTCACTGATCAACTTGGTCCAGACCCCCTACATAATCCCCATCTCTTCTAATATACAGGTGAGTGAAAAAAATAGCTTTCGAGCAATTCTTTTAAAATTAATTAGAAATTTTATTTAAATAAAGTTCATTTCTCCGAATATTTGAAAAAATGCGCTTAGCAAATAATGACGCTTTTTTTTACTCTTATCTTTCAATAATAATTACATAAATTAACATGTATTATAATATTTACGGCAAACTAACATTTTTGTGCTTTTGCAGGAAAAATTTCTTTTCTCTCATAATACACGAATTATACACAAAAATTCATCATCGATTCTTTTTGAAAAAAAAAAGAAAAAATAATCACCTTTTTCTTGGATAAAATTTGCTATCAATCAGTTGAATTTTAAAATCTTAAAATTGAATCTGTATACCAAAAAAATTCAAAAATAAGAATTTTTTTTCACTGACTGATCTAAATGCTGTTGCTTCTGCTGCTGTTGGGATACTTTTTTGAGTGAGTGAGAGAGAAACAAAAAAATTAATAATATTCGAATGAATGAGGAAACGTTTTTAGTGAATTTAATCTTTAGGTGAGGACAATACCTTATTTGCCATATGTGGCACATAAGAGGCTCGTCACCATTGTTCATACACCTGCTCACACTTATTACACTGGATCTCCATTATCACCCGTAACTGTGAGAGTACATTCGCGAGTAAGGCCCAGTATCCTCGCAGCAGAAATCAACAGAATTGTGAATCGACAGAGACCTTCTTCTGTATCGTACACTGAAAAATATCTTAACTCCAGACCAAACACTGTAAGTTATCGCAAATCCGAATTTTCATTTTTTTTTTTTTTTTTTCAAATTTCATATTAAACGAATAATTTAATAGGAAATATTAAATTACAAACAAGAAAATTATCACAAAGATAATATGAGAAAAAGCGTCATAATTTGCAGAGAAAAATCAAATTTTTATCATCTTAAAAAGGAAAAATTTAGGAAAATTCCTTTATTAAGAAGCAAAATTTAATTTTAGTTTCCCATTTATAACCACGTTTTTAATTTCAATCTGTCTATTATTTAAATTAATGCCTTTTTAATTGCATTAAATTTATAATATTAAAAATTAGGAATTTAAAATGTTAATGATATAAATTAACTTTTTTTATAATAACTAAATTTAATTTTTTTTCCCCTCCAGGAATTCGATGATGAAGCCAGAGAAATTAGAGCACGAGCAGATGCACTTCTTCGCAGAATTCACGTCTTCGTTCCAAAACCGTCGCCCAGGTATTTTAAAATTTTTTTCTCTCCTTTATTTTCATAATCAAATAAATTCATTCTGAAAGCTGTGCAGATTATTAATATTCCTAATTTGACATTTTCAACATCTGCAGTTCCACAGAGTCAGCATTAATGTGTTTTAAAAACAAAAGCTCATAAATTAATACTTTCATTCAAAGTACATAATTTTTAAAACTTCATATAAATATTTAAATATAATTTATATTATATTTATTAATTTAAAAATATGTTTTTTTAAATAAAATTTTTAATTAAAATTTTTTCAATCTAATAATTAAAATTACGAAAAGATTTTTTTAATAAGTATAAGTTTTTGAAATAAATTTTTTTAAATTGATTTTAATTAAAATTCAATTAATTTTCTATTAACGTTTTAATATGAAGCTTCTAATAAAATCTTATAATGAGGGGAAAAATTAGGATTCACGCAAAAGCAGCTATCATCGTCGATCAAGTAACAAGAATAATTATTGCCATCATAAAAAAAACTAAGATGTCACAGATGAGTTTTTCTCATGCTTACTATTTTTTTTTTTTTATCAATTTTGGGAAATTTCGACTTTGATTTATATTGATATAGAATATTTTCTTTTCTGTTTCCTATTTTTGTTTGGAAAATTTTTTTTTTACGGATAAAATTAGACGTTTTTTTTTCGTTTATTTTCCATCGACACGCAGCGACTACATCGATGAAAGTCTACGAAGTGATTACATTAGACGTCTTTTAAATACGAGGGAACACATCAGAAAGGATCTTGAATATTTGAATCTTTGGTATCAAACGCCAGAATGTCGTAATTTGGGAGAAGGTCATTTGGCTTGTGTAAAATATGTTGGAGGAAAACCTCAATCAAAAAGAAGACCTTATTATAAACTTGCCGATTTAACTGCCACCGATGTTAGAAATGATGTCAATTTTCTCAGCTATTATCGTAAAAATCGTCAAGCTGCAGACAAAGCTTGTAAGTAAAACAAATATTATTTATTCTATTTTATCAGTGGGTAAATTATTTTTCTAAAAAAAAAGTCAATGTTCATTTATTTAACGAGTTTTTCATTTTTTTATTAATGAATTTTTCATTTATTAAAACAATTAATAAAATAAATGGACATTAGATTCTTTCTAATTTGAATTTTGCGATCCGATAGAAAAAAATAATTAATTTAAATGCGCCTAAAATTTCTGAAATTATCGAGAAAATCCGCTTTGAAAATATTTCATATTTAATATTGTCTTAAAGTATTAATTAATTGTTATTACAAAATTAAAATATTAATTAATTGCTAAAAAATTTGTAACAAAACTAATTTGAAAATCAATTTTTACAAAATCGATTATTAATTTAATATTTTTTTTTTTTGATTTTGGAAATAGGAAAAAACATGAATTTATTTATTCCTGTTCTATTTCTAGATTTAAAAAAAAACTTTTGTTGGTAATTAGTTTAATCCTTATTAAAATAGTATTTTTTTAACAAGAAATATTATATTTAAAAAAAAGTTATTCATTAAAACTTGGCGCCTATGAATAATGGATGCAAATATTTTTTTGTGAAATTAATTTCTCTAAACTAATTTAAAATTCTTAATTTTCAAAGCTTATTGAAAATTTTTACCCACAATTATCAATTAATATTGTTTTAATTTAGAAATTATTTAAATAGAAATTATAGAATAAAATCATACTCATGAGTTTTTATTAAATAGATTAAAAAAAAAAGATTTTTTTTTTAAACTCGTGATGATGGTTGACAATTTACTCGTGATTAGAATATTATGATCAGTCAGTATTATGAAAATTTTGTGAAAAAAAAATGGCCTTAAGACGCCGTTGTGTGAATTTTTTTGGTTTTCTGTCCTTTTTTTTTGACGTTTTCTTGTCTGAGAGATTTTTTTGTGTATGTGAAACGTGCATATTTTTTTATTTTCTATTTTTCTCCTTTCTTCGTTTTTTATTACTGTCTCTTTCTCTCTGTTACATTGTGTCTAATAAAATAATTGCTCAATTTAAAAGAAAAAAATCAAAATTCCCATATTTAAAATTTTAATCTTATAAAAGTTGAATAAAAAAAAAAAAAAAAGAAATTGAACAATTAAAATTTAAAAAAAAGTGTCAGCAGAAGAAATGTGGACGATTTGAATTTTTCGATATAAAAAAGAAAAAGGAAAACCGGGATTTTCTATTATAGTTTCTTTATATACAATTTTATGTATTATTGCGTATTTTAAAGGAAAAAAAAATTAATAATAATTAATAAATATAAAATTGGAAATTCACAAATAAAAACGAGTTCGAAACATGAAGGCAACCAACTTTATGGATGCTCTCGCGATATAAGTAGAAGAACCAGAGGGTATTTTAAATATTTCAGGCCAGGGATGGAGAGATCGCGTTCCAGAGTTGAATGAGGATCCCAGTAAATCCAAAAAAGAAGAAGACGCCCCACCCGAGCCTTTGGAGGATTGAACAATATTTTCCCTCCTCTCACGAAAATTAATTCCCACAAAGATAATACTTTTTTTTTGCCCTTAAACAAAATTACCTATTCTCAAAAAAAAAAAAAAATTTATTTTAAAACAGAAACATTTTCTCGAAAAATTAATATATTTTTTTTTTCATCAAAATGTATCTTATTAAGAAAGAATCATTTTCTTTGAAATAATTCAAATTTGTATTTTGAATTCTTCAAATTTATTTCTTCAATAAAAATTGATTTACAAAATTAGTTTCAAATTTATGAATTTGAAGTTTGCAATGTAACTTAATTATCTGATTTTTAAAATTTAAATATTGCAAAATTCAATTTCATTTAAATTTCTATAATTTATTTTAATAACGAAAAAATTATTTCCCCAACAAGAAAAAACGAAAAAAATTATTAGATTTTTGAAAAATAATATTGATTTTCAAAGAAAAGAATTTTTCTTTCTAGAAAATAAAAACGACACTCAAATTGAAAATAAATAATATTCTAATTATATTGAGAATAAACAATAAAAATGACACTAACATGAAAATTACACTGAATGTGTCCCGCACGAAAATTTGTGAAAGTTGATTTAAAAAAAAAAGAAAAAAAAAACATACATGACATTAAAATGAAAAGACCCATTAAAATTTGAAGACAATATTTACTCACTTTGCACGAAGCTATAGAAGATATCTCAGAAAATGAATGCGTTTTGGAGGTAAGCTTATTTACATGTGCTTAATTAGTGTCCTGGGTATTTGTAATTTAGTAGAAAAGCGGCACAACATTTTCATCTTAACATGTAATTTTTGTTTTATTTTGGATCCACTATATTAGAAAAAATTAAGTGTGACTCCAAGGTTTAGTATACATATTTATATATATAAAATTACGAAACATCATCTCAATTTCGGACAGCTGACCTGCTAATCATTAAAATGTATTTTTGAAGATTTCTCAGGCATCTTGCAATTTTCTCTCTTATTTATTAAATATCAATTCAAATAAATTTTTTTTTAAATTGAATTAATGATTAATTAAAAATTATTTTAATTTAATTAATTATTAATTAAAAATTAATATAATAATTTAAAAAATAATATAATTACAAAATTTTAATAAAGAAGAAGAAATAATTGCGTGTATGAAAATCATTCATATGGACCATTATAAAACTCCCATTTAAGAATCTCATATAAATCATTGACCTAATTTTTTTTTTTTTGATATATTAAAATGAGCAAAATAACGAAATTGCGTATAGTAAAATTATTTCTCACAATTATTCGTAATTATTTGTTGAAATAAAATTGAATCTAATCAAAAATTAATTAAATTTTGCTTCTTACTATGGAGTTACTCTTTTATTGTAAATTTTCTGCTTCTCTAATTTTTTAATTTTTGCGCCATTTTTTTTTTCATCATCTATACTTCTTATTTCTTTTTTTTGTGTGCTTTGTTACTTTTTTGGTAAACTTGACATTGCCACAAAAAAAATCGCCTATTTATATGTATAAATATATTGTTTAAATGTTGTAAATTTCTCTCTTAGTGCCTGAAGTACCTATGACCGAAAGGGAATTACGAAAGGGTTAGTAGCTTCACTGTTTAAAAAAAATTATTTTTTATTTTTCAAAATTGTACTATTTTTAATAGTAAAAATCTATTTATATCTTTGGTTGCTTATTTTTTTTTATTAAATTCTGTATGAATGTTCTATATGAATAATATTTCTTTCCTCTTTTTTTACTTTTATATTTTTGTAATTTTTTATTAATTTCTTTATATTACATTATTTATTTGTCGTCTTTTTAGATTTTTTTTTTTATGAAAATGATTACTGAAATAATTTATATTTAAAAAAAATTTACCGTCTGTAATTTAACTGAGTTTCATTTTGATCCCTTAATTTTAGCTCGTGCCTTAGAAACCGAATGGTCAATTGCCCAGAAACAAAAAGGTAAGATTAAAAATTGATTTTTGTTTCTTGTTTAAATTTTTTTTTTCTTTTTTGTATCCATATCCTTGTGTCATCCTTATATTATCAGCATCAGAGCAATCAGCCACACTTGAAGAAATTGAACCAGAACAAGAAGAAATTGAATTCGTACGTGAAAAAGTCAAGGAAAAAAAAGAAAAGAAGGAAAAGAAAGAAAAGAAACGTAAGGAAGAAGAAGAAGCAGCAGCAGCTGAAAATGAAGAAGAAGAAGGTATTTATAAAAAAAAAATTGCCCTGAAAAGTTATATAAAGGAAAATTTAAAAAAAAATTACAAATTCAGAAAATATTAAATGTACCCTGTTATTCTTTTTGAAAATGAATTCTGTTCTCTAATCACATGTTTGTATCAAGTCTTAATTAGTTTAAATGTTTCCATGTTTGTATTTTTGTGATTCTTTTGAAATTGTCATAGTTTTTAATTAAGAAAATATATTTTAATCTATATTTACAATTTATAGAGAAAATTTTTTTTTTAAATAAAAGACTAATTTTTTATTTTTTTATTTATAGGTCGAAAGAAGGCAGAAGAAGAAGCAATTCGAAGAGCTCAAGAATTTTTGGCAAAACGAATTGAAGAAGCTAGGTAAAATTTTTTTTGACATAATTCGATTTAAAAAAAAAAAATGATAAATTACATTATTAATATAATAAAAATTTTATTATTACTACAGTTTTATAAATAGAATTTTTTTCTTTCAGAGTACAAGAAGAAAAACGTTTGGCAGCAGAGGCGGAGCAAAAAAGGCTTGAAGAAGCTGCAGAAGCTGGAAGATTGGCTTTATTAAAAGCAGAGGAAGAAGCGCGATTAGCTGAAATTGCAGAACAAGAAAGGCTTGAAGCTTTAAGAAGAGCCGAAGAAGAACGATTAGAAGAAGCACGTTTGGAAGCAGAACGTCAGGCTGAAGCCGAAAGGTATAAATTTGTCCTTGATAAATATAAATTTTAATATTATAATTATGCAATTTTATTAATATTTTATTCATGAAAAATAATATTCATTTCTATCAAGCATTGTTTTTATTTTATGCATAAAAAAAGTAATATAATAATTTTTCATTTACTGAACCACATTCATAAGTTTAATTATAGCAATTAGCAATTAATTTTATTAACAAAAATTCTAATACAAAAAAAGGAAAGCAGCTCAAGAACGATTGCGTTTAGAGGAAGAGGCACGTAAAGCTGCTGAAAGAAGAGCCGAGGAAGAAAGGTTTTTAATTACATTTTTTTCTAAATTAAAAAATTTTTTTTTTTTGAAATTGAAAATTTGTTTTCATTTTCAATTGTTTTGAAAGGTGAATAAATTTTTTTAAAAAAAATTAATAGAATGATTGAATTTTTCCGCAGAATGTATAGAGATGCTGTAGATGCAGCAGCTGAAGATGAAGAAGAACGTCTTGCTAAGGAATTGGCTGAAGAAAATCGCAATCAACGACAGGAAGAAGAAGAGATATTAGCCACTGTTACAAATGTTGTACCAAGCTCAGATGAAGTTAAAGAATACGATGATCGTACTGAAGATACTTATGCTCATCGTAATCTCTCCGATCATGAGAGAGAAGAAAATCCAGATGATGCAACTGTCGAAGACAATACTCAGGTAAAAAGAAAAAAAAATAATTAAATAATTTTAAAAAACAATTTTTATAATTAAATTAAATCAATTTTCTTTGATTAGGTTGAAGAAGAAGGAGAAGAGGACATTGAACACGATGGCTCTGAACCAATTGTCGACGATTTCCAAGGACCAGAAAGTCATCATGAAATGGTTGAAACGATAGAAGATTCACCACAGGTTGAAGAAGTTTTCTCCAGTCGTCAAGAATCTGTCGAGGAACCAGAAGATGAAGATGCGTAAATTTCCCATCTCCAATTCGTAAATCATTTTTTTTTTTTTTTTTTCATTCTCTAATTCCCTTGTGGAATTATCATTTCAAAAAACAATTGGTATTTAGAAAATAATTTACAAAATAATATCAAGTAGAAAATGATTAGTACATTTTTAAAAATCAAAAATTTTTTTTACTGTTAAATAATTTAGAAAGGAAATTTAAAAAAAAAATTTAATACAAAATAAAATTTAAAAAATATTAATTATTAATTAATTGAATTTTACAATAATTTTTTATTAATTAATAAATCAAATTCTAGTTTGTTTGCAATTAAACAATTTTATTTAGAAATAAAGTTTATTTTCTTGTACACGTGAAAAATATATTTTATGAAAATTATGAAGAGTATTATCTTAAAAATAAGCAAAGATATATATGGAGAAGATAAACCATATAACGTGTTTGTTAATGTGTCTCTACGAAAATATTGTACATTAAAATATTAATATGAGAATGTACGATTTGAAAGATTTGTTTCACAAATTTTTTTTCAGTTCAAAGCTCTCGTTCAATTTTTCTAAGTAATAATTGACGATTGATTGCTATTTTAGTATATAGAATAAATTCTCTATTTTAATATTGAGTTTTTTTTTGTTTTTTTTTTTAAAGGCGAGAAATGTTTCATTTTTTTTTTCTCAATATATTTTAAGATTATTTTCAATGTTAATTTAGAAGAAATTTTATCATTTCCAGTTTGGTGAGTTAATAAAATGTGCAATACTTTGTTATTTATAAGAAACTTAAAAAAAAAAAATTTATCTCAATAAATAAAGATATTTTTAAAACTGATAAAACTTATTTTTTTGTTTTCTGTTTTAAGCAATAAGGCAAATTCAGAAATTTTCCAAAGATTTAAATAATTTTTTATTTCGAATGAAAAAAAGTATACATATTCTAGTTTTAAAGAATATTAGAAAAATTATATATATACACAATAATATCACAGTAATGAGTAATGATTAACATTCAGCAATAAATTTTTTCCTGAAATATCTTAATAACATCAAAACTCGATCTGCTTTTATGTTTGGTATTTTAACATTATGTTTCATTAATCTTCACTCTATACGGGAAAGTAAAATAAAATTAAAATGTTTTTTTTTCACAATCTTTTTGTAATCGATTTACGAAAGATAGATAAAAATCTTAATATCTAAAAATCCAGTCCATGAGCCATTAGGGACTAGAATAATGTTTCTATTCTAGAAAAGTTAACAAAAAAAAATATAGAAATCGTATAAAAACGATTGCTTTGTTAATTTATAAAATAAAATACGTAATTTATAAAAAGATTTCTCGTAATCTAAATTATTAGTTTTGTTCAAAAATAAAATAATTAACAATTAAATTTTTTAGAACGTAGATATAATAAAAATAAAGTGCTTAAAAACGTAGATAAATTGTTTAGTACATAATTAAAATATGTGAAAATAATAAAAATTTTCGAAATATTTAATTAATGAATCGCCCTGCAATGAAAATTAATTAATAATTTATTTTTTTGAATAAAGAAAAATGTAAAAATTATTTTATTTAATAATGAAAATTCTTGGAAGGATTGAAAGTACTTTTACTCTAATTATCAAAATAATTTTTGTCACAATTCTTAAATTAATAAACTAATTTCTTTTGAAATATTGAATAATTTTCTAATTAAAGCTGTACAATAAGCAAAAAATGCTTTGCTGAATAAAATATAAAAAAAAGATTCTTTTCGTCTTATCAGTCTGCAATATTAAAAAATTGACTTCTATTTCTAATTATAATAATAATAATAATAATAAAAATTTACGTCTGAGGAGCCGAACGTTGTGAAGCAAGAAGCATCATTCGATGGCTTAGTTTCACATTATGATCTCTTAAATACCTTATTAAATCGGCTTGCTTTTCAAGCAGTTCTGTAACATTAGAACCACGTTGATGAAAACCAATTCCACTTCCCCCCGCGTACGAATCTTGATTAAATGATGTCAACCATTCCTCTTGGGTTACATCCGGTGGTGGTTTCAAATTATTAAATCTATGTACTCGTTCTGAAAATAAAATATTTTTTTTATTATTATTTATAATTATTAATATTACATTTTTTTATTTTTTTATTTACTCACTGATATAATTCACGTATGTAGGCACAATGATGAAAACTTCGACAGTTGTAAAAAAAAGAATATAATTAAGTGGCGTAAATAATTCCGAGGATTTGCAATAAATTTCATAATCTGCTTTATGAATTTGATGTAAAACTACTGCCAAAAAAAGATAAATAGTATTCCAAAGGGATACGATAAAAAGTGGCGTTCTTATATGTTGATACGTGGATTGATAAAAATCTAAGTAACCAGATATTCGAAGATTATGATGTTGTGCTTTTATAAAATGATCAGTGACCATAATAATAATCCAATAGGCACAATGAAGATATAAAAGTATAAAATAAGTTTCACATTTGTCTATCTCTTTTGGCCAAAGAGATACGAAAATAATTCCACTAATTTCCAGAGCAACCTGCATAAAAAAATTATATCAACTTATTAAAAAATAACTAAATTAAAATCAAATTATATTAATAATTACTTACGCTAAAAATAAGTGGAACACCGACAATAGGAATAGTTTCTAATTTTTGAAAATTATCTTGTTCCTCGGAGGAGATAACTGGTTGAAGATACTCGTCGTCGTCCATATTTGTGGAAGAATCAAAAAACACAACACCCTGGGAAAAAAAAAATAACAATTACGTAATTCTCTTTCTCTCTCATGGGAAATTTTATTTATAATTATAAAAATCTACTAATACGTAAAAAATACACTAAAAAATTAAAGCAAATTACTAATAAATATAACTACACAATTTTTAGGTTAGAATTTTTTTTTATTAATCTATAATAGTAATGACGCATACTTTAATCTCAAAGACAGAAACTAGAATTATTTAATTATAATTAAATCAATTAAAAAAAGGAAAATTAAACAGATTATAGAAATAGTTTCTTAAAACAAAAAAAATATACTCACACTTCCTGAGGTATTTAATGCTAGATGTCGAGAGAGACTGACCATCAGTCAACAAAGTTGAGAAAGAAAAGCAACAGCAGCAAATATAAGTATATATTCTCAGATTGCGTGAAACATTTCTATTTTTTAATTTTATAAACAAACAAATGATACAGCATCGTCATAAGAAACTACAAAAGATATACACACGCAGGTTATTATAAAAAGTGACGTAAGTTATATATTATTTACATTACATCATTTTCAAAATCAATGTATTTACGGGAGAAAAAAACAATTATATCCTCGTGAATTGTAACCTATTTTTTTTATTAATTTTCTTCAATAATAACGGTACTTATTTGACAAAAGTGACATATTAAAAAACAATATATATACCAGTCTTGTCACTTTTTCAAAATCTTAACCTTTTGCGCATGACGTCAAAAAAAATAACTCAGCTGATTCGTCTTTTGATTCGTTGAATACATTCAGCATGGACCATTCTTTATTTGGAATGAAAATTTGACTTTTATATCAACCTTGGTGGGAAATATTTTGACAGCTCGTGTAAGATTTAACAAAGCAACAAAGTATATATACAATTAACTCAAAATTAGATTGTTTTTCGTAATATTCGTGTGACACTTTGCCTTTGTCTTTAAAAATGATTAAATTCATTGTAAGTACAATATATTTGTTTTTTTTTTCCTCTTTTTTATTTATGGAATTATTAATACTATACTATTATTTTTAAGGTTACATTATCAGTAGGAATTTATGCTGGAATTTACATCAGCCAAAATTATGAAGTAAGTTTTGTTTTCTAAATTAAATACAACGCAATTATTTGATTTTATTCTTTATCTTACCAAAAATTTCCAATATTTTGATTATCTTTTGTTATTTACAAATTGTTATTGAAACTGTATTGTCATCACTACATATTGTTTTTAAAATTTTAATAACTATTTTAGAAATAATATAATAAAATTATTATAATTTTAGGTGCCTCGTGTCGATGAACCTAGTAAAATATTTGAAAGAATAAAACAATTTGCAGACGATCATAAAAAGAAATAGAATTGAAATATAGAAAATTGTGTGATGACCAGATATATTGAAATCCGAATTGTATGCAAAATAATTGTACATAAATAGCTTTTAATTATATATATAAATAAATAATTACGTTTTCTTTATAAATTTTTTTTTTGTAAAATAAAAGACAAATAAAAATCTTGACTGGAATAAAAAAGAAATGTGATAACAATTTTTTTTATCTTATCAATAAATTATTTATTTTCATCTTTTTATTTTTTTTTTTTTGGTAATCAAAATGAGAATTTCTTACATCTAGAAAATTATAATTTATACATAAATTAGACCTCCACCGGAATATTCGATTCGAGCTTGAGGTTCAACAAATGCTAACCAGTCGGATGCGTGTGTTGGTAATAAACCCATTGATTGACATTTATATAAAGCTAATGCAATATTAACAATTTGCCCTAGAAAGAAGACAAATTTTTGTCCAATTGCATGTGTTCCTTCGATTACTTTAAAAGCTGTACGGAAAAATTAAAATTATTTACTTATATTATTAAAACAAAATTTTTTAAATTTATTGAAAAAGAAAAGAAAATACTCACTTTGTTGTAAAGAAAAAAGTGCTTTAACAGGTCGAATAATTAACATTCCAACCATCATTATTGGAAAAATGGAAATTGAATTTCCTGCCATATACATAATAAATAAATTCATTGGAACTTGTTTTAAAGGTCCCAATGCAAGATCCCATGACTTTTTAATTATTAAATGATTCGAGTCATTTTCCTCTGACGTGCTCATATTTTCTGAAGTTAAAGCATATCCAGGAATTAAACCTGGTGGTGATGCCAATTCATTATATTGTTTACTTCTGAAAATTAAATTATTCAAAAATTCATGTTTATTTATCAGAAAATTAATATATATTTTTTTTTAAATAAAAAATACATTGAAAATTAAAGTAAAAATTTGAGGTTAGGAAAATAAGAACATTTTTAACATACTTGCTTCCAAAATCCAGGGCCCATTTTAATTTCTTTGAATTTTGCTTAGTATTCGACATTTTTTCTATTAAATAATTCTATATTATTTATTGAATAAAATATATATATGATTAAAACAATTGTATGGAACTATGGAATAACACAAATTACGTCACCAAGAAGAAGTGGTTGGCAACTGTCAAAACATGACACTATCAGTGCTCCCAAATGGCGTAAGTTAAAAAAATTTTAAATGTACAAATTATTTCTTTAATTTTAAAACAAATTAGAAATAAAATACAAAAAATAATTTAAAATGTTTAAGGAATTATTTTTAGCTATTTGAAAAATTAAAGAAATTTAGAGAATAATTTATTTTATTTTAAAATAAATGTAAAATGATACGTTGGTAACACTGTGGCGGCCATTTTTATTTTTCTCCCTCGCCGGCCAATGAAAAGAAGGTGCGTATTTTTCCAGGAAAATGACAATTGAGATGATTTCGTGAATTTGTAACAACTTTTTGCATTAAAATCACATGTTTATTCAATATAAAATCATTTAATTCAGGTAAGAAACAAATATTATAATTATCTTTTACAATATTTATAAAGTTATTTGAAAATTTTATGTTTTTTTATAAGGTAAATAGTGATGACAAAAATCCAATATCATTTCATGTCTCCCAAAAAGTTTTCATATATATTTTATAACATATTTATTGAAACTATTCGTATTTTTCATTTAATTAGTCTATTTATCGATTATTTTACATATAATTGTTATGGTATGTTATAAAGTTTCTTTCATTTCAGTGACTCAAATTTTTTATGTATATTTTGAGGTTAGGAAATTTAGGATTTGTTTTGTTACTATTGACAATAATAATGTAATTATTATGGTGAATATTTCTCATTTAAATATTATTTCACTTCTTATGTTTAATTACCCTTATAATTACTTTAGCTATTTTTTCGCATTTAATACTTTATTATTGTCTTTTAATTGAACATGATAGTTGTCTCATATTTTCATATCAATTTTATCGGTTTCTGTTTTCAAAGATTTTTTAAGTTTATATATCGTTTATATTAAATGATCTTCAATTAAAAAAGGGATTTATAGGTTATGTATTTCATTTTGATTGTATGGCATCTAATTTTTTTTTTTAAACATGTTTTTAAGAGTTGTATTATCAACTTATTAGTGCAAGGAAGGATATTGATAAATATTTATTTTAGAAAAAATTACAACGTTTTTCGGATTAAATTCGTTTAATTGTTATATTAAATAGAAGTGGCAATTGTTGCAGTTTGTTGTAGCTCAATATCACAGATGCCATACATTCTGGTACGTGGTAACCTTGCTTCCTATGGTCATAGGTATCCTTGGAGAGTTCTTGTATCTGGTCTTAAAGGTATTCATGTGATACGATTGAAAATTGCTGTTTATTTTGTTGCGAAGCACTCTTATTTTCCATTGTTTATCTTATTTTTCTCATTAGCCCCCTTGCACATTTTATATCCTAAAAATTAGTCCATACCTTTATTTCTTATCGCACATTTATTATTCAATCTATAGGGATTTATTCTCTTATTTTATTTAACTTTGAAATTTATTTCAACTTGGAAAAAAACAATTTTAGAAAAATTGCTTTTTCTCTTTTGTTAGAAAATTTTTTTTCAGTATTTCTCATTACAATAAAAAAAAGAGATGTATTTATTATTATTAATATATTTCAGCCGAAGATACGGAGCAGTTAAATCGTTTTGATTCTGGTGGATATTGTGACGATTCGACGATAGTTTATTTACAACATCCTTGTGTGATTTTAACTGCTTTGGAACTTCTCGGATACAAAGTTGTTGCTTCTTCAAGTACGAGTGTTAAGCAAGATTATAATGAATATATGTGGACTATGAGAAAAAATTTTGAAGAACCTGAAACCGATACTGTACCTGTACCTGTTATAAAGGCTGGTGAGTTTGTTATTTTTTATTATTACATTTTTCCCCAAAAAAAATTGTTTTTTTTTCATTAAAAAATATTTTTCATTTCAAATAGTTTTGATTTAATTTATAATTAGGGTTTATTTATTTATTAATACAGATTTTATATTTTTTTATATTAAATTATAAATTGAAATTAACAGATAATTAATTAATTAATATTTTATGTATTTTATAATTTAAATGAAACTTATGTAAATTATTTCCCTAATTTTCATTTTTGAATTGAATTTCGCGTTTAAAATTTCGCGCTCAAAACTAGTTTTCAAATGGCGGTAAAGTGTTAAATTACCAAGATATTTACCGACATTAACATAGTGATTAATAAAGAAATTAATGATTTTCACGATGAGACTATTCTTATCTATTTTCGAATGTTTTGTCTACTTTAAATTATTTAAGAAGAAAAATACATTTGATAAATAAATAAATTGAATATTCAAAAGTGGAATTGGAACAACCAATTGTAAAACATCTTTCAAGTAAACTAAACGTTCTGATTGGTTGAAATCCATTTGTAACATGACGCCCCGACGTCTTTGTGTTTGTGTGTTCCTTAATGAAATGCGTCATTTTTCTCGGCGAGTCGATTTGTGTGAAATGGTGGAAGCTGAGAAATTTCCAAGTGCTTGAAAACCGTAATTTTGTGATAAGGTATGTTTCATAAGCTTCATTCGAATACTCTCATTAACGTACAAACGGTAATTTATAAAGAATTTTCAGAAATACTTTTATTTTTCAATTAATAAATTCCTCGAAATGTAAAAAAAATTGTTTAGCAAATTTTTTAGGTTATACAAATTTTCAGTCTCTGACATCTTTAACAATTATAATGATGGTTTGTCCACCATTATGTGAATATTGTATATATCTTTCCTTGTAATATTTCAACAAATTTCCTGATAGAGAGCAATTTTTTAAATTTGCCTAATTTTTTTTGCATTATTTTCGCTAGGAATAAATTTCCTGTCTAAAATTACTTTTTCTGTAAATTTGCGGCTTTAATAAATTATGTAAATAAAAAAGAAAACCGTGATACTTTTTGATTAGTAATTATTGTTTTTTCTTTTGTTTTTAATACTTATTTTTATTGTTAAAATAAAGACATAAACAATTGTTTCCTTATGCTCAACAATGTTAGGAAATAAAAATTATTTAAAAAATATATTGTTTCGATTTTGAGAGTATTCTATTTAGTATTTTATTAATTACTTATATTTATATTGCAATTAAATTAGAATATAATTATAAAGTTGAAATTTGCAAAGTTGAGGATCTAAAAAATTCTATAATTATGACAATTTTTTAAATTTCATGAGCCAAAAGTTTTGAACGTTCATATGAATAAAATTTTTTTTGCAACTTCTTTAAGTACGAATTTTATTACAAAATATTGTTTAAAATATCTAAAAAGATGTTATTTATTTAATAATTGTTTAATTTACTGTTTTATTTTACATGGTCATCATAATTTTTAATAATTTATAGATTGAAAAAAAAAATTTCTTTCATATGAACGTTGAAAACTTTCGGCTCATTTAATTTCGCTTTTCTTTAAATTGGAATTTAAATAGTAATTAATTTAAAACATTTTTTTTAGACGGTTCGATAAATTGATTTCAATTATACACGAGGAAAGTTGAAAAAAAAAAATCTACACGTTATCATCATGGTGAAGAAACGTGGCATTGTTTGGAATTATTTTGAGAAAAAAGTTGATGGTACACAAGTGATTGCTTTTTGTAAATTTTGTGATCAATCTTATACACAAAATGCAACACGTATGGAAAAACATATGGAACGTTGTCCAAAATGTCCGGAGGATATTAAAATGCAGTTCATACAAGTTGGCGTTACAAAGAGGTCAAAAGCAAGAATTCTTGGCAATTCGATGGAGAATTGGGTGAAGCAAGATAATACAATTGAAGGTAATATTACCGAAACCGAAATTGAAGAATTAGAAAACTGGGAATACAGAAATCAGAATTATGCAGATGAAGGTTCGAGTAATGCGCCACAAACCGTTGAACTAATCATGCAGGATGATGAATCGTGGGTTGGCCGTGAAACCGAATTAGAAAATACCGAACACGAGGAAACAATTACAAAAACCGAGTGGATAGCTAGCCAAGGCAGTGGACAATCAAATGGTAATTTTTTTTTTAAAGAATAATTATAACTCTTCCATGTCCAGATTTAACTGGATAGACTAAAAATTTCTTTTTAGATTTTTCAGTATCTGGGTAAGAATGTGTTTTTTTAAAAATATTTTTTTTTTTTGGGGCATGGAATGGTTTGTCATTTTTATTTAAATTGAGAAAAATTTGAAAAGAAGATTAATTTCGGAAAAAGTAATTGAATTTGATTTTTCAATTGTGATTCAAATGCTTCTTATTGCTATTCTTATAAGAATGCTTATTCGGTGTTTATATTTTTTTTTTTTTCTAAAGGTTAGTACATTTTAAAAATTATTTATTTGGAAATTAAAATTATTATTTATTATTATTAAAGAATTCATTTTGCTTAAATTAGTATTGCAGAAGAATTTCTACAATTTCTGAAATTGTCAAGAGTGAAAAAATAGAAATTCTTATTTTAAAATGGAAATAATTGACAAAAATTTTCTCAGCTTCTTCACAAGAACAACCACGACCAACGCAGAGGAAAGTTTTCATACCGAGAAGAATTTCACAGTGGCCAGTTGTTACGCCACGTTCGCATTCAACTCATTCGCCTTTACAGAGTAAAATTTATCAGGAACAACTTTTAGAGAAACGTGCATTAAGAAGAATTGCCGAACTTGAATTACGTAGAAAAACAATGGAGTTTGAGAGATTTCAATGGGAATATGAAAGAGATAAAGCACAAAGTGAAGTTAAATGGGCCCATGATACAAGAATGATGCAATTAAAAGAGGAACGTGAACGACAATTAATTGAACAAAGTCGAGTTGGATTACCGCGGATTATAAATTGCACGACATTACAATCGTCATCTCCTTAAATTGTTCATTTTCAATTTTGTTCCATAATTACATTTCACTGGTGATACACTATATATATATACCGTTGTAGTAAATAAATCTTAAATTTTTTTCCTAAATTAAACATTTAAATAGAAAAATAATTTTAATAGTTTCGCTACTATTAAAAATTTTTTTTTTCAACAATTTTCCAATTATAATTACGATTCTTTCTTTTTCATAAATTTTTTGATATTAATTATTTTGATGTTAATATAATTAATGAATTATTAGTTAAATGGTCTATTTACATGGTTGTATATCATTTGTAAAAAAAAACCAGTTACATATTTTAGTTTTCTTTTTAAATAATCTTTTAAAAAGTTATTTTATTATGTAGTTTTTTAGATGCTTGGAAAGAGTACTTTAATGGGCTTTAAATGAAAAAGAAATTGTTTATGAAAATAAGATTTCTGTATTTTTTTTCTCATAGAGACTTGAGATATTTTATTCTTTACTAAAATTGAAAAATATTTATTATATTATTTTTTCGTGAACAATAAATATTTTCGTTTAGGACCCATCGATATTTATGTGATAGATACATATATTATGCAAAAATATGTAAGTTATATATAATATGTAAAGCTTTATGCGTAATAATCCGAATTTTTGTTTTAACAGATTGTATTTCTTAAATCTGATAAACTGTATAACTCAATAATTCATAGAATATACTACTTTTTGAATACAATAATTCTTATTATTAAAAATCCTAAATTTCTATTTTTTTAAAAACATTTTATTAATTTTCTTGATTATCTATTGATAATCAATATAATAATTTACATTTGTTTTTGGAAAATAATTATTTTAATTTTTCAAAAAGAAAAAAAGGAAAGTTTACCTCAAAATTAAAAAGTAATTTTCATTATTTTTTAATTCTCCAATTGGCAAAATATTTTTATTAACGATATAGACGTAAGTATTTTCTTTAAACGATTTCATTTTTTTCTAATTCTTTCAAAAAAAAAAATTCTTGTATTTATTTCATGCTATAAACTTCATATATATATATTTTTTTTTTAAATTTTTTTGTTACATTACAATTTTTTATTTATTAATAAAAAAAGGTCAAAGTAAAAATATTACTTTTTATTAGTTTCTAAATTATTGAAGAAATGAAGAGTAGATGTTTTTTTTTTTACTTTTCGCTTATAATTTATGTTAATATTTTTTATTTTAGAATTGAAAGACAACGAGGTTTAAGAATTCTATTAAATGTCTGACGATCAATCAAACGGAAAAGGACGAAAAATGTCTGGAAAATTAGTAAATATTGGTACTGAGAATTATTATTACGTTGCTGTTAAAGGATCTCCTTTTGCCAGCGATTCTACTGTCTTTGGCTTAGGTCAAGATGAAATTCTTGCATTATCTAAACGTTTCCCAAACTCTGGAACAGATGTTATTAACGGCGCATTAATTAAAGGTTTTTATTTCAATTTTTTTGTTTTAATCATTTGTTATTTTCAAAAAAAAAAAATTCAAATTGTTAAATAATTTCAGGAGCTCCACTAAATATCATCAATGCTTTAGCAGAATTAGGCTACCGTGTTATCTGCTCCACTGGGGAAGCTGAGATCTTATGGACCCTTCAAAGAGAAATTTAAATTTCGTAAAATCTTTTACATTTTTTTTTTCAATTGTTGATTTTTTTAAGTGTGTAAATGTAATTGCACTCGACGTTCTTCGAAATGATTTAAAAAAAAATGAGAAATTCGTGCTGGTACGCGGGGGAAATTAATTTATCAGATTATAGTTTGATTTTTTGTTTTTAAATTTTTATTGTCTATAGAAAAATTTTACACAAAACAGAAGAAATGTGTGTGGACCAAACGAATCATGAGATAGAATATTTTGTTAAATTTAAAAGTAAGGACCTTTTGTTATTTCATATAATAGTAATCACATATGGGTCAGACTTTATTTTATTTTATTTTTTTTTTCATATTTTATATGTACAAATATTTATTTCTCATATACTCTTTTTTTTCGACTATCGGAAAAACAAAAAATGAAAGTTTTTTGTTTTAAAATAATAAAGTATTACTCTCTATAGAAATAATTTCATATAATATACTAATCTAGTTAAAATATATAGTGAAACTAAAATGGTTTCTGAAGAGAAAGTCTAGAAAGCAATAGAAAAAAAAAAATATATTAATGAGATTTTTTTCTAATTCATAAAATTTCATAATGAAAATTATGATATTTGACTATTTACTATTTTGGAGAAAGGATTATTTTTTTGTTTTTTATGAAATGGAAAATTATCTGAAACAAGTTTTCGTAAACTTTGTTTCGAAACTATTTTTTTCTGTTTTACAAAATAAATTTAAAGTTTATAATTTGTTTTTTTTTTTTTAATATCTCTTTTGGGATATTTTTCACTATTATCAGTTTTTTTGTTCAAACAAAATTGTTTCAATTAAAAATATCGAAAATGAATTCATAATTCATTCCAGTCTTAAATAATCATTGAAATGAAATATTTATAAATAATTAAGATTTATTACTGAACATTCCCTGAAATAATTTATTTGTAATGTTTGTAGTGTAACAAATATTAATCAAAGTTACAAAAAATTCTACAAGAATGAATTTAATGGGAGATTTTATCTCAAAATTTGAATTAAATTTTAATAATTAAAAACAAAAAGTATTTGAAAAGTACTTAAAAGTTTTGTATTTTTAAGTTTTTGATTTAAAAAAAATCATATTTTTTTATTTTTTCGATTTATTTTGTGGAATTTGTGACATATATATATTTTTATTTTGATATTCAATATCATGCACTTAAATACATAATCAAATATATTGTATATGATTGATCATTCACGTGTTTTTTTGCATTTTTAATTAATGCTTGTATTAACAAATATCAAGTGTAACAATATACTGAATATTTTGATGTCACTCGATTGTTTCATTCCACCCTTAAAAAAATATTTTTTATATTTTAATTATTTAATACATATTTTTTCTTTTAAAAACTATTTTTTTATTATATATTATACATCATTTTTTTTTTAATAAATAATACAAGTAAAGATTCTTTAGTGAGTTTCAGATAAAAAAAAAAAGTATGGACTCTAGTCATTCACACGATGGAAGTTGCTGTAATTCTCAAAATAATTCTGGTGTTCGACAAACTTTATCGGAAATGGAATTTGAAAGAGGAATTTGGCATGCGGGTAAGAGAATTTTTATGATATAATAATTATAGACTTAAAAAAAAGGAAAAATTATAATAATTAGTGAAATATATATTTTTTTAACTAATTATAAAATATTAGTTTTGAAAATAAAGAAAATTGATTTTTTTTTCAGCTCAATCCAATGATGTAAATCGAGTTAATTGTCTATTGCAAAAAGGTACTCCAGTAAATATTGAAGATTGTTCAGGATATACGGCGCTTCATTATGGTGCAAGGAATGGACATATGAAAATTTGTAAGTTATTGTTAGAAAATGGTGCTAATATCAATGCATTAACTCGATCGGGCCATGCAACTGCACTTCATAGAGCAGCGACTCAAGGACACATTGAGATCACAGAATTTTTATTAAAATCAAGAGCTGATCCGAATATTCGTGACGCAGATGGATATACAGCTCTTCATCGTGCAGTCATCTCTAATTTTGTATCAGTCTGCAAATTATTGATGTCAAATACTGATTTAAAAATTGTGGATAACAAAGGACGTACATCAATTCAATTAGCCGAGGAGAAAGGAAATCAACAAATTATTGATTTATTTCAAAAATAACTTTCATCGATAAATTCAAAATAGGTATTCAAAAAAATATTCAAAAAAAAAAAAAATTACTAATTTTCAGAATATTTAAAAATATTTTTCTGCAATACACATTTTGCAAAAATATTTTTAATTTTAATTTACAAATTTTCTAATATATATATAAAATATTAATTTGCAAAAATATCAACAATTAGAAGAAATTACGTTTCACGTTATCGATTTTTTATTTTATTTCGTAGTATTTTAAAGATATTTTCCTTTTTTTAACGAATTTTTCTATTGCTTTTTTTAAAAAAAGAATTTTTATTCAAATTAGTAAATATTTTCGTTTAATCAAATAAATATTTAATCCATTTTGGTTATTATTAAATTAGTTTTACAAAAAGAAGATATTCAAAATTCGCGGCAAATTTTAAATCAGGAATTTTCCGGATGTAAGTTCAGTAGTGTGCCAATAGACGGCGCTAGCGTTCACTTCGTGTCAGCAGTTGGTGCACTTGATATTGAATATATTCGTGAGAATTCGTTAATTTTCGTTACTCTTCGTTAGCCGTTGTGTGTCAAAGAAATTTTTATCCCGGCCACATAAATACACACATACATATAAATGTAAAACAGAGCCACCTGGTGGCGTTTTGATTTTGTAGTTTGTTGCGTTTGGTTGCGTTCGAGTCAGTTGGCGCAGGCGATTCTACCGGGAATTTATTGCTGTTTAACAGCAATTTTTGTTGTTGAATTGCCTAAAATATGTGATAATTGCGTAGTGAGTGTTGTTAAATAAAAATGTCGACTAATTCGTGTATATAAATTGATTAATCTAGTTGTAAAACACATTGCCAGCAATGTAACCGTGTCGTGACGTCACACGGCTAATCAAGTGCACAACACACAGACACACGCGTGTTACCATCAGTTTAAAATGCGTTTTTAATTGTATAAAAAAGGAAAGAATTTGTTTCGTGAAAGAAGAATAAAAGTTTTTTAAAAAAAAGGAAATACAGTGATAAGAATTGAAGAAATAATAGATACAAGAGAGAAAGGACAAGTTGGGGAGTTATTTAGTGAAGGACAGCTCTCACACGCAGGCGTCCAACCTAAAAAACATACCGCTCGCCAAGAGGACGACGTCCTCACTTCTTTGCCAGGGATCGACGACACGCGAAAATTTTCCCTCGTGTTTTAACTGTCAGTTTTAATTTTATCATTGCTCTAAATTCGTGAGGTTTTTTTTTTTTTTCATTTTTGCGAATAAAAATTGTCCATAACCTACAAGCAGGCCTGGGTAAATCGATTGACAGAAATGTAGATTGTCGCTCGTGGAGAGAAGGTCGTGTATTTTGACAGTGTTGTGTGTGTCGTTGAATTGTGAGGACTATTAACGCGCGCAACGAAGCGCATGTGTTTCGAAATGTCTTCTGTGAACGGTGAGACGAGTGTTTCGCGTAAGGAGAACAACGCGTGGACCCTGTACGCCCCGGGACGGGTCGCTGGATAAGGATTAAGTCAAGTTCGTCGCGCTTTGGAACAAAAATTGAAACGAGTGCGCGACAAAAAATATAATTTCTTCTAATTGTTGAATTATTTTTATTATTTTTTTTTTAGTATATTTTGTTTCTTTCATTTTCTTCTATATATAGTGTTGAGTTTTTATCTACTTGATGCGCCCCTGAAGATTAGTGATTTCTTTAAAAGATCCTTCAACTGGAGTTGAGATAGAGACGCAAACGCTGACGTAAAATTCAAAGGAGATTCAGGTGAGTGTTTGATTCAAGCAACCATAGTGCAGATAGAGATAGAATTAGAGAGAACGGGGTAACCTAAAAACTGCGACGAGGTTGCATACTGCGATCGATTCGTAGAAGTTGACGATTCAGCAACGTCACTTCGCCTCTAATATAAGCAGGAACAATAATTGCTTTTCTTTTTCATCTATTGAATTGGCTTTTTCTTTTTTTTTCTCCTTTGAAATTGGTAAAAATTCTTTTTATAAAGTGAAAAATGTTTGTGATTTTTTTAAAATTAAATCAAAAATTGATAAGTAAAGTTAACTATTTTTTTGTAATATTAATCAAAAAAGATTTTATTTTATTTGAACTTCAAGAGATTTTGGTGATTTAAATTGGCATATATGTAAATCATTTAAATGACAATATGGTGATTTAAATTAAGTAATATTACAATTTTTTTTTAAATTCAATATTGTAAGAATTGATTAGCTTGGAGGTTATGATTTTTTTTTTAAAGAAATATTTAAAATAATTCCACTCAATTAAATTGTAAAATTTTTATTATTCGTTATCAAAGTTAGAAACAAAGGTTAAGGAAACTCGTGATCATCTTGATTCGATACGAGGGAAATATTTTATAATTAAAGATCTCATTAACCTTAATAGATTCGTATATTCTGTTAGATAACTCTTTATATGTCTCAATTATAGTACACAATTATGTGTGTTATAAAAATTCAATCCCTGAGTTTCATAAGGTTTGTCCTATTTTTTTTTTTTTAGTGAAATTTACTCACGTGTCAAGTTCCTTTCGAATTTTTTTTTCCAAATTCAGTAGAACCTCGGTTTTTAAATTTTGTAATTTATTTTTTCAACAGTGTATTTTAATAGAAAATGTTTGAATAAAAAAGGGTTTGGAAAGGAAAAAAGAAGAAACTTAACGAGGTTGTACTGTATTTTTCTAACAGGGGGGAAATATTTTATTTTTCTGTGAATCATAATTTTAGAAAAAAAAAGGAATCCGAATTGAAGAAAAATAAATGGAAGACATATTTAGTTCTTAGCTTTTAAATTTCCATTTTCATTTCGTTTCAAGGTTATAGTGTTGAGCTCTGAAAGAAACAGCTGTTATGCGATGTATCTTTGGCTTGATTGACGAAGCACAGTTTATTTATTAAAAAAAAAAGAAGTTATTAATAACTCGCAATTATTGTTTATTTTTGGTTTCAAATAAAAATTTTATTTTCAATTCTTTTTTTTTTTTAAATCAACAAGTAGTTTTCCGATTTCTTATATTTCAACACATTCTTCTGTTGGTATTATACACGTGCACTATAATGCAATTAGAAACGCTATCGATAACCTTCCTATGATATTTCGCAATGGTCAGCATGTTTCAAAGAGGTACTTTCGAAGGGAACACGATATCCAACGAGTTTCTCAAGAAACGACGGTGTATGATCTTCCGGCGAAGGCTCTGAAATTCTTTTGTGCTTACTAAGCCCTATTATGTGCATTATATGACTATATGGTGCTTTTGTGACAATAAAACCTCCTGAAAGAAAGGGATTTATCTTTTTTTTTTTACTTGGCGCGCATAAAAAAGCTTTCGAATTAGTTAAATCAGTAATTTGAATAATGAAATTATTTTTTTAGATTTATTTTTTTTCAACTTCGTTTCCCTAATCTAAATTTTCGGAGATAAAAAAAAAAAAAGGAGAAAATTATTGTAATGAGTGGTAAATTTGAATTAGAGAGTATAGACTTTGAAATGGATTGAAATAGATGTTTGCTCGTTTATACAAGAAGCGAAGAGGCATAAAATCGAATCGTAAAAGTCTGTTGATATTGCACTCGGAATGGAAGAGTTGGAACACGAGTGTGCACATGGACACATATATAGATATATAGAGTGAATTTCTAACGGTGCAACTGACTGTTACTACTTAACATCGTACTGTCGCGCATTTTCATGCAGTAGAACGGGATAGTCATAGATAGACGATAGAAATATCGGACTACTACTACTTGGGGGCGGGAAGGGGGGGGGGCTCCGTTAGATTTACTTCTTAGAGACCGACGGCTCAGACATTGCATTGTGTCCCACTCTCTTTCTCTCTATTACCGATAGAGTAACGTTAGGTGGGTCAATTTTTCCAGTTAATTTCACTTAAGCAAGAAGAGGGGTTTATTATGATAACGCGTAATTCGTCAAGTGATTTATGACTCGTCTCTTGATGAAACGTTTAAATCAATTATAAAGAATGCTTCTTCTAATGTATGTCGGCAACCAAAAAAAATATATATTCTTTTTTATTTTTAAAAATTTCTTTTATTTATCATGTTGTGTTTGTAATTTTTATCAATCATTCACTGTGTAGTGACATCAGAGATAATTTAAAAAAAAAAGCTTATTTAAAAATTGTTTTGCGGCAAATTTTTCGTCCGTTATCCATGACCTTATGCGATTAATTTTTTTTTTTTCTTAAAAAATAGTTGTTAATTTTTTAAAATGAAAAAAAATTAGAATTGACAAAAATATTTAGAGGATATACTCTCTAAATCTGAATCAGTCATATTTCACTGATTAGCAGTAGAAATCTACTAATTGCCACACTGAAAAAAAATTCTAGTTAGAATAACCAGAATTCTAGTTAGAATAACCAGAATTCTAGTTAGAATAACCAGAATTCTGGTTAGGGTATATTTAACATTTTGATTCTGGTTAGGTTAACCAGAATTCTGGTTATTTTAACGAGAATTCTAGTTAATTCAACTAGAATTCTGGTTAACATAACTAGAAAGTAATGTTAAATATAGCCTAACCAGAATTTTTTTTTCAGTGCATAGCGAGAATTGAGCAACTGATAATTAGTAGAAATTTACTGATTCAATTATGAAAAATATAAATTACTGATTGAATCAGTAATATAAACATATGGCAACGGCCGCAAAATCTACTGATTTAACAGTTAATTTTAAAGGTTATGTTATATACAAATTACTGATTTACATAAGTTATTTTCTATTGTTTGCATATTCACTAATTATATTAGTAAATTTAAAAAAAAATAACTAAAACTTCAGTTCAAATGAAAAGTACTGATTGAACTAGTAAAATTTCTACTGATTCAGATTTAGAGAGTAAATAGTTTTGTTAGATGAAAAAGAGAAAAGAATATATATAATTAATAATTAGAAAAAAAATAATCCCATTAGGATGTTATTATTCAATTTTTGCTAATTAATTTCTTTTCTTATCCACAGGATCAGAAGCGTTATCAAGAGTACCTCATCCCAGTTTTTGAAAGTTTCCTGAGACGGAACGGCTGATGATCAAGACAAGAATCACGACCTCCGTGAAAGAGAAAGAGAGAGAGAGATTGACGAAAATTGACACTCGTCTCCCCCTGAACTTGAATATTCAAGAAAGTGTGCGTGTGTGTGGTTAAAAAAAACAAAAAAAGAAGAAGAAGGGTCAGGAACTCGGACATCGACAAGTGAGATCTTTCCTGACGACACAAAACTCATTTTTCACGAGGTTCGACGTCTTTGAAAACAAAGGTCTAAAGAGAATCAAGGGAGAAATAAAAACGAGAAGAGAGAGAGAGAGAGGCCGTTTGGATACCCGGCGGACAAAAGCCGAAATAAGTAGGCGGTGAAGAAAAAGGAGTAAGAGAGAAAGAGAGAGAGAGAAAAGGATTGAGTCTATCTCTCCTCTAAGAGAAAGAGGTTGGTTTTTGAACGAAAGAAGGCTTCCCTTCGCATCTGGCGAGAAACTTCCAGGAAGGATTCTTCGTTGCTAACGTTTCAGGAAGAACAAAGTGGACGGGCAGACCATTTTTTTTTTTAAAAAAAAAGAGAGAAGCCTCTCTCTCTCCCGTCTAGCTTCGATTCTAGCTTGAAATACTGGTCCTAGGGCCCAGAATAGCGAGACAAAGACGAAGTGAGAAGGGGAAACAGAAAAAGGGCGAATGTTGCCAGACTAGTGTGCCGGTGCGTCAAAAAAACTCCTTCTTTTCTTATGTGTTTGTGTGTAAGTGGATTTATAAACTGAGTGAAGTTTTTAAAAGTTGAAATTCGGGGTGAATAGTAAGAAAAAAAAAGTGCGCGAGTGTCTCTAAGAGAACAAAGTTGGTGTTTGTTGTTGTTCCTGGCTTAATTTCTGGTTCTGGTCAAGCCGTTGAGAGGGATAACCACGTGATCATCATTTGCCCTCAACATCCATTATCAAGGATCACCCCTTAGGAGTTTCACGCCACGCCCACCCTCGATGAGAGGAGGCACATGTCCATTGCTGCCGCTGAAAATGCAGGGTAAGTCTTTCACCATTGGTTTATATCGTTGCTATGGTTTTAATACAGCTGATTTCGCATCTCATTTTGAAAATGATGAGATAGATGAATTCAAAAAAATGTCAATGAAATTCGTAATGTTTATTTTTCTGCCTGAATTATAAAAAAAAAAAACAACAGAAATTATAAAAATTGTTTGGAAAATTTTGGCGCCCTAGATTCTTTTCTGAAGCTATCAAAATTACTGAATATATACGTTATATAGTGGAATTTTTTTTTTGAATAATTTTTTACGACAAAAAATAGTTCGCGAAACTTTTGTAAACTAGTTCTTCACTTTTGGACGGTCCCACACTGAAAAAAAATTCTGGTTAGGCTATATTTAACATTACTTTCTAGTTATGTTAACCAGAATTCTAGTTGAATTAACTAGAATTCTCGTTAACCTAACCAGAATTCTGGTTAACCTAACCAGAATTCTGGTTATTCTAACTAGAATTCTGGTTATTCTAACTAGAATTCTGGTTATTCTAACTAGAATTTTTTTTCAGTGCAAAGTTTAGAAATCTTTCAATGTCTGCGCACGTGCACAAAAAAAAATTTGTGGAATCTTGAATAAAGTTAATGAAAGATTTCCCAATTTTGGGCACGTCCAAAAGTAAACAACTAGTTTAGGAAAGTTTCACGAACTATTTTTTTTTCCGTGTAGCTAAATATTAAGTAGTTCATGTTGGGTGGGGGAAAATTCAAGATGGGACATGATGATCCCATAAAAATCATTAGTTAGAATTTTGATTTCAAAGGAATTTATTATATTTATTTTTTAGACGAATTTTCATTTTTCGAATTAGAATTTGACACAATTTCTCAATATTTTTTTTATTGTAACCGAATTCTGAAAACGTTGAATTTTTATTTGTCCGAAAAAATTCGATTACGTTCATCTTGAATTTTCCCCCACACAACTTGAACTACTTAATTTTTGGTTTATAGTCGTCATGCGCTGTAGAAAAAAAACAGTAGGCTAACATAACCTTAATTTACACGGAAAAAAAGAAAAAGTAATTTTTATTACAGTAAAACGGGAACTATCCGAAGTTTCTGCGCATCTCTGGCAACTTTTACTCCAAAAATAGTAAAATTTACTCCAGAAATAGTAAAAATTACTACGGAACAGTAAAATTTACAAGAAAAATAGTAAATTTTACTATTTTTTGAGTAAAAGTTGTCAGAGATGCGCAGAAACTTCGGATAGTTCCCGTTTTACTGTAATAAAAATTACTTTTTCTTTTTTTCCGTGTAAATTAAGGTTATGTTAGCCTACTGTTTTTTTTTCTACAGCGCATGACGACTATAAACCACAAATTAAGTAGTTCAAGTTGGGTGGGGGGGAAAATTCAAGATGAACGTATTCGAATTTTTTCGGACAAATAAAAATTCAGTGTTTTCAGAATTCGGTATAGTAAAAAATATTGAGAAATTGTGTCAAATTCTAATTCGAAAAATGAAAATTCGTCTAAAAAATAAATATAATAAATTTCTTTGAAATCAAAATTCTAACTAATGATTTTTATGGGATAATCACGTTCATCTTGAATTTTCCCCCCACCCAACTTGAACTACTTAATTTGTGGTTTATAGTCGTCATGCGCTGTAGAAAAAAAAACATTAGGCTAACATAACCTTAATTTACACGGAAAAAAAGAAAAAATAATTTTTATTACAGTAAAACGGGAACTATCCGAAGTTTCTGCGCATCTCTGACAACTTTTACTCGAAAAATAGTCAAATTTACTATTTTTCTAGTAAATTTTACTGTTCCGTAGTAATTTTTACTATATTTCTGGAGTAAATTTTACTATTTTTGAAGTAAAAGTTGTCAGAGATGCGCAGAAACTTTGGACAGTTACCGTTTTACTATGAAAGTAGTAAAAATTACTTTTTCTTTTGTAAAAACAGTTCTAATTCCGAATAAGAATTAGTATATTTTTATTTTGCAACGCTAGTCTAGACTAATTCTAGTCTAGTTTTGAACTAGTTCTCAAGATATATATATGAGCTAAATGATGGTGCAAATAAATTGAATTATTTCACTAGATGTGGATAGAATAGAAAGGAAAAGGAATTTATCGAAAGATACTTAAAAAAAAAAAAGAGGTTTGGAATAGAGATGGAATTACAGTGATGAAGGCGAGAAAAGGATGTAGAAGAAATAATGATAATGTAAAGAAGGACAGATGAATATAGTGGATTAGATTGGTAAGAGAAAATTATTAGAGATTGGAACAGGGAACTTTGTGATGGTTGGGCGCCGCTGAGAGAAAGAGTGAGAGGGGGGGGCAATGCCAGGAAGGGGAAGCCTTGGCCCGGATCCGACGGCGGCTTAACCCTGGAGATCAGTGTCGTGGGCACGTCGTGGGGTCCACTGGGACCCCATAGAGTTAAGGTGGAAACACGCTACGTGACGCCACTCCACGTGATATCGAAAAGTATCTGATTACATGGATTCGCGTTTACTTTTCGTGGAGTAGAAACGAGAGTGAGAGGCACCTTGACTTTACATTCAACGGTAGACTCTACACTATTAAACTCTCAACAAATGTCTTTCCATCTCTCTCTCTCTCTCCCTCTCCCTCTCTATGCTGAACTTGATACTCTAAACGGATGCTGATTTTCGTGTTTCCCAGAAAAATTTCGTTCACTTTTAATAGAATATAAAAATTCTCTTCTCAAATACAAAACTTGATTTTTGGAATAACACGTTGGGTTATCGACGATCCGGGATTTCGAATAATCAATATATATGAAATATTTTTTTTAATCTAGTATTATTTTTCTTCTCGATATCATTGGTATATTTTTTGTCAAAATATTTGCTTGAGCATATTTTTAAAATATATTTTAAAAATAAAAAAATGATTTAAAAATTTAGTTTTTTTTAATTTTCTTATAATATTACGTAATAGAAATTATAAATTATTTTCTGATGAAAGAATTCTTTAAAGTAAATTTTCTCTTTTTAATGGTGTTCATTGTTATTTGTTTATTATTTGAAACGTCATTGGTTTACATTTTTCCGAGAATTTCTATTATAAATTTAAAAAAAAGAAAATCTAATTCCAATGGAAAATATAATGTTGATAGAACACAATTTTCTCTCCCTCACTATATACATTGTGAATCATATTTTTTTCTTTTGCCTCTGAAAAATCAAAATGATTCATTATAAGTGGAAGCCCTATTTGATAAAATGCAAGGCAAAACTCATATAAATTATTCTTGACCTTGATATATTTTTAAATAAAACGAATCCTTTTTATAATATATAAAAAATAGTAGTATTTATCGGAAAAAAAATAAAATTTAAAAAAAGCTATTTTTTTACATTCTTTTGTATTTTATTATTATTTAATTTTTTTTTTTATTTACTCGATCTTTTGGAAATTATATAATTTTGATAAAAGTTTTATAAATGTTGTTCTTTTCATCGAGGGGGGAAAAAAAAGAGAGAGAGAGAGTGAAATAATAGTTTTACAAACCCACAATCAGCACAAGCAGCATTCAAATGCAAACAGTCACACAACGGGGGACATAATAAAGTTGATAAAATTCAACATAACTTAGTTGAAGGCTCAACGCACAGCTCACGTATATTAAAGAGACTTTAAGTTGAAACTGAAAAAGAAGGCAAAAGTGGCTCACACACAATGCAACTAAACTCCCTATATTATTTATTATAACTTAAGAGGATGCTAAAAAAAAATACTATACTGTCGAGAAAATTATAAAATATAGGGTTTTACAAAGTCTATCAGTTGAGAGTTTTTTTCAGGCTTTTTCTCTTTACAAGTGAAATTGCTATTATAAATGTAATATGCATTATATATATATATATATAGTATATAATGCAACCGATACTGACCACCACACTACAGAGAAAATTGAGAGGAGGCTAACCACAGGCCCTTCACCAGAAATCATGGAAATAGATGTAGCTTTCTGTTGACTCCATAAGAGATCTTTATATATATCATGTTTATATATAAAGAAAAAATTATTTTATTTTCATGTTCAATGCATTTTTTATTAGCTAAAAAATTATAATTTCGTTAAGAGATATACAAAAAAAATTTTGTTTTTAACAAAAAAATTACAATTTCACTGACATTTGTTCTAAAATTTAATTATGAATATTATTTCTTTCATATTTTTTTTATTAATAAATAAAATGTATGATGAATAAATTCTAAAATTTATTGGAATTTTTATTCGACAGAATTTTTGATATCTGTAAATTTAGCCAAATTTCGAATTATTATTCAAAACAAAAATTCGCCCATTAAATCACATTTCTATATATTACAGAATTATTCCTTAAATTTTCATTTTGCGGACTTTATTTAAATTTTAAAAAAATTTATTATTTGGAACGCGCTCTGAAGAAAGGGACCTTAGAAGCAAAAAAATTATAAAGGTTTTTTTTTTTGAAATTTTTAAGTGAAAATAGACACAAATTATTGTAATTAAGTCTCCATTATATCGAAAATATTCAATAAAAATTGATTTTAATTTTACATAAATATGAAAATAAACTTTTAATCAAAGTAAAACTACCATAAACATAATTTGCATTCTAAGGTCCCTTTCTTTAGAGCTTCTTATTTTCATTAAAATAATAATTCAAATTCGATTAAATAAAAATTTTGATTTAAAATTAGTTTATAATGTATAACAATTTTGTAATATATAGAAATTTAGAGAAATTCTGTCAATATTCTAACAAATTAGTTTTAGCGTTTATTCATGCTCAATAAATAAATAAATTTAATAAAATAGAATCACAGAAAATTAAATGGCATTAAAATAAGCTGCAATGCTTATTATTTTAATCCAATTTTGCTTATTTTAATACCAAAATGGATTAAAATAAGCAAAATTGCACTGAAAAAAAATTCTGGTAAGGGTATATTTAACATTACTTTCTAGTTAAGTTAACCAGAATTTTAGTTGAACTAGAATTC